TAATGCAGGATTAAATGCCCTTCAACTGTCAGGAAGACCACTTTTCGATAGGGTAAGTCCTTTACGCGGTATAACCGGAAAACCTAAAAAGCGCCCCTTTCGGGGGCCTCCACTACTTAAGCACAACTCCGTCGAAGTCGAAAACCTAGGAGAGTCTTAATGGGCAACCAATGAAGCCATTAAAGCAATAAAATATTTTGTAGGAATTATTTCCGATTTAACATCTAATTCTACTGGCCTATATTATTATACGCGAGGCCGGCCTCCCGCGCGCGTGTTTTGTTTGGATAGGTACTAAACGTAGGTATTGTTATTGAAAGTTATCATTTGTGTTTATGTTGATGCATAATTAATGCAATTATGTTTGTTATGTTCTTTATTTCTGATTATATTTTTTAGTCCCTTACTCAATGTGTATCAGTGAAATCTAATATTTTCATGAATTTTACTATTTTAAAAATGACAATTTAAAAACATTTATAACTAAAAATGTTTACGTAAGCATAGGGGGAGGGGGTCAGTGCTTTGCTTACTTTTGATGACAAGGGGGGCGGGGGGGTATAAAATGGTAAGAAATCTGCTTACGTAATACTTGAACGGCCCCTAAAAACTTTCAATCTACACACAAAATTTTACAAAATTTAGACTTGTTCCTAAATAAAACGTGAATATTAGTATCTGTTCTGATTAATGATGTTTTTTAGCTTTTCAGTAAGTGTCCGTACGAAACGGCAATTCGATAGTCAAAGACCGAAACCTTCATTGAATGCGTCATGCATAGGTATCGAACAATCACACATCGCGTGACCGAAAGTTTGGTAGGTGGGTGTGTCCTTAGCTTTACACTAAGGTATTCCCAGAAGCGAACCCATTTTCAAGCGAACCTACTTAATGTAGCGCACCTGAACTATTCCTTGAAGAGCACTGCAATCCTGGAAGACAGGATTTTTTCCCTATACAGGTTGTTGATTTTAATCCTCGCCATATTTAGGGAGTTGATTAAATAAGTTATTCTGATCACGAATCAGTAAAAAAATTGACTTCGAAAAAATTTTAAACGAACTTTTATTTTAGTTAGTCAAAGAAAAATGCCTATTTACACTACCTACTTAACGTGGCTTCTTTCAGTAGGCCATCCGACGAAAAATTCCACTTTCATTTGTATTTTTTTTGTGGATAATGCATTTATGTAAGTCATAATAAAACATCTAAATAAATATGGCGAGGATTGAAATCAACACCCTGTATATTTCTCTTTAATTCAGCTTCAGTGTGCTCACGTGAAAAGTTCATATCAAACCAAAAATCCTAAATGGACTGGCATACATCAGAGTCTACAGACGGTGATACTCGTATGGTGAAAACAATAAAGGCCTGTAGAGCTTTTACCGTTCAACAAATATTGCGGCCGAATGGGCTTGTACGAGTATGAAGCCGATAGACAAGGGGCTTGAGAAATCGATGTGGGGGTGTGGTTGGATAGGGAAATGACCTGTGGTGTTTAATGAAAGATGCCAATGTTTTAACTTGTAACGAAGATACCAAGACATTTGCCGTACTTATATCTCTAAATATAACTCAAAGGTTTGATAATTTGACTGACTGACTGACATAGTGATCTATCCACGCATAGCCCAAACCACTCGACGGATCGGGCTGAAATTCGGTATACAGGTAGATGTTATGACGTAGGCATCCGCTAAGAAAGGATTTTACGAAGCTCCACCCCTAAGGGGGTAAAACGGGATTCATGCGTACGAAGTCGCGGGCAGCCGCTAGTATTAACATAATTTGGCATAATGAGTTTAGACTGTTTCTTGCCTAATATTACTTAGCCATAATGCCCATAACATATTGTTTTGATTTAAAGTGAAAAAAATAGGTTAAGACGCGGCGAGGGTGGCCCAAGGGCCACCCCTAAGTCGCCTATTTAGTTTTATACACACATATGTTAGCAACGAAAGAATTAACGCTGATTTGGCTATCAAATTACACCTGAGGAACGCGGGGAGTCGTACGGGATAACAAAAAGATATTCCTTGTGGCATTCGAACGTGGGCCGCGAGCGAGTAAAGCCGAGAGCTTTCGAAAGTGTGTTGTGTACCTATGATTGATGGCTTGATTTAGCAAATTATGGTATTGGTGAATAAGTTGGTTTCAGACTATTTGTATTTAATATCCAATTTGTGAGTGAGTATGTGTACGAATCTAACATATCAGAAGTGAGTCCGACGCCCATTGGTATGTAAATTATTTTTATTATTATTGATGCAGTTGCATGAAACAACAAGTGAGTTTTCTGGAAGTGGCCGCTCAATTAATAGTTGACTGGCAGAAAATAACATTGAGTACTTATTTTATGCGCTTTTATTTTGCGCGATAAAGTTCACGACAAATGAATGGAAAATACAGTGAGAAAAAGGAAACTGATATTGTTTTGGATACTGTTACTTACGTTATTATTTGAGAAGATCTGCTTCGATGGTTTAAAATTTTAATTTAATTAAAATAAAAAAAAAATGTTAGCAACGAAAGGATTAACGCTGATTTGGCTATCAAATTACACCTGAGGAACGCGGGGAGTCGTACGGGATAACAAAAAGATATTCCTTGTGGCATTCGAACGTGGGCCGCGAGCGAGTAAAGCCGAGAGCTTTCGAAAGTGTGTTGTGTACCTATGATTGATGGCTTGATTTAGCAAATTATGGTATTGGTGAATAAGTTGGTTTCAGACTATTTGTATTTAATATCCAATTTGTGAGTGAGTATGTGTACGAAACTAACACATAAATGATCTCATATTAATAACATTTAACAAATCATGCGGTAATTATTCACAATAACCGGTAATTATTCATAATTTTTACATTTACCGTAACATATATCGTTTTTCTTGTTTGTGGAGATACATAAGCCATCGACTGATTTCAGCATCATGTGTCGAGACGTACGTTGGTATCTATATGTACACTTGTGACTGACGAATCACGACACCAATCCATCGTTATGTAGGTCAGGGTTAGTTTTCAGCAACTCTGCTGTATTGTTTCAGAGCCTAATTGTATACCTACTTTTAAAACAATTTCGTGTGCTAGTAGGTATAATACAGCTTTGTTTTAAGCGAACTATCTAAATAAGTACCTACTAATTTCAACATTTGTCCTGTCATTAATAATGTTATTTTAACAGATTCATGTATCCTTTTATTTTTAATTTTGTCACGTGATGTCATATTTTAATGGAAATTGTCTGTGTTCTGGCCACTGCGATAAAAGTAGTTACCTACGTAAACTTAGTGCAGAGGACTCTAGATTAAAACTGTACATTTGTCATCATTAAGAAATAACCACTTTTTTATCTTTACTTTTAAATATTTCGTTATAATATTATTTAGAAAGTCTCTCTATTGGACTGTAATAATAATATTACCTACTTTGTTTACCTACTTTATTATGATGTGTGACTTATAATATAAATAGGATTAATTGTTACACGCCATAATCTGGCGAGACATGTTGAACTGTATCATCAATTTTGTGTTCCATCCTATGTACCGTGTTTAATGTAATAAACAACTTGAATTTTAATGTTTACCAAATTATCAACACCTTTCAGCACGTTTGAATTGTGTAGTCAGCTGGTAACACATTACTTTTCACGGTGGATTGAAAAGTAAAAGCCATGTCACTGAGAATAATTATTCGCAACTGGAAATAGTTCAAAGTCATTTCGTTACCGTGCGAATTCGTGGTTGGTCATGGCCTGACGGTAGGCAAGCACTGATAACGCTTGCAAGTGTAACATAAACATTGTAATTGTCAAGCTCGTATTTTTAAAAAAAAATATTAATCGTACCTACACTGGAATTTCTTAACACATAGGCATCATTTAAATTTCCATTTTGCTCAACTATCTTACCACGGTCCATTAACTAGGTTTACGTTTCATGATTAGATTGAATAAAAATATAATTTCGTAGATTAAAAGCTAGCAACTCTAATGATGCATGTTTATCATTTTTGATACCATGTTGTGTGGATTAAAAATTTAATCGTATTTGACAATATTCATCAGATGATTACACAAATCTTGACTTTAAGTAGACTGTGATACACGGTGTTACTTTGCATTCTTGCCATATTTACAGAGGTAACTAATGTGAATGACACTGAACACAAATCAGTAAAAAAACAATGTCCTAAAATTTAGTTTTTTAAACTTTAGCCTATTTTAGTTTATCGACAATCTTCTCTATTTTTAAATATCTATTGGAGTTTTTAAAATTATTTTTGACACTTGTAAAAAGCTGACACCCACTGTTTATTCCAATTGCGCCTGTTGAATGTGCGAGACAAAATTGTTTTACTTCAATTTGTAGTCCAAAGCTAAATTTACTAAAATCTCAGTGTGCTTTCTTTACGGTAGTGTCATATTTATCTAAAATAATAGGTATTGTTCCCTACTTTTATCTCTGTGAATATGGCAAGGATGCAAAGTATCACCCTGTACTTATAGTATAGAAAGACAACAATATAATAATGTCTGCAATTATCGCGGCATTTTATTATTTAGATAATTGGTGAAAAGTGTTTATAAAAACCAGGTATCCATGAGCACTCTGCCAAAGAAATATTCATCATACACACTATATTTTTAACATATTTTTAACGAAACAATTTGTACGTCAGCTTAGACTAAGCTGTACCTGTACCTCTAGTACGAAAAACTTTCGAGTTCGTTTCGTTGCGTATTCAAAGTGTCATCGAAAAATTTTGTATGAAAAATTAAACAGCGCCCCCTATATTATAGCCGCCCTAGGGGGCGCTGTTTAATTTTTCATATAAAATTTTTCGATGACACTTTGAATACGCAACGAAACGAACTCGAAAGTTTTTCGTACTAGAGGTACTGTACTCTTCCACTTGTACTTAGTTATTTAGTTCTTATTTAAATATTAGTGACATACAAGATTTAACGGTAACTATTTTCTTTTTCTACAGGTGTATTCAGGAAAATTACAAGAAAGGGCAGAGGTAAAAAGAAACCTTCAAAATGGTGATGGTAAGTAGCTAGTTAGTAATGAAATAATTGAGAATTCCCATGGAAATCTCATCATTGTGCCTTATTCTCTGAGAGTTATCTAATTTTGCCGTCGATATTTACTTTTCAAATTGATCTAGTAATTATGTAGTTCAAACTTCATAATAATAATATGTATACTCGTATGATACGCTATCACCATTTAAACAGCATTTTACGAAACTAGTGACAGATTTAAGANTAAAAAATACATTAATTACGTAACTTGATTTTGCTAAAAGTCTGATCTGAGAAAAAATCAAATAGGTAAATTATACATTATTTCTTTATTATTATGTATCATGTACTGTCTTAGGTACGATACAACTACGGATTAAGATCGTTTAGTCGACGCAGCGTTGAAATTGTACAGATAAATGCAGTTTGCGCACTCACTACGCGACGTCAAGCAATAAAAACCTAAAATTCGAACGCCAACTTTTTGCTACAACGCTCTTAACTTTATTTAATTGAAATGTAGAAAAGAAATTGAAGTTTCCACTTTTAAGATTTTAAAATGTTGGACTGGGACTAGGACTAGCCGACTCGAGATTCGAAGTACACTGGCTCGAAGCCCAATGCTGTACCTCTAGTAGGAAAAACTTTCGAGTTCGTTTCGTTGCGTATTCAAAGTGTCATCGAAAAATTTTGTATGAAAAATTAAACAGCGCCCCCTATATTATTATATATATTATATTATAGCCGCCCTAGGGGGCGCTGTTTAATTTTTCATACAAAATTTTTCGATGACACTTTGAATACGCAACGAAACGAACTCGAAAGTTTTTCCTACTAGAGGTACTGGACTATTGTGAACCCACTCGTGACTAAAGCATATTTAGCTTAGCTCGAGGGGTTAACGGGACCATTAGCAATTTGCCCAATACAAACTCACTAATAGCCTAATAGGTATCTATATAAAATGCGTCATGTTTTTTTGTTTTATAGGAATCAAATGGCGGGGTACCACCCCAGGAATTGGAGACGTTCCTGTCTCCAGAGGAGAAGAGTAAAGAAAAAATTGTCAAAACGTAAGTTTATATAAACCATTTATACATTTTTTGGGTCTCGATAGAAGTGGAGATAGCTCTAAAGGGAATTGAACTGTATGTTTAGAGGTAGTAGCACAGAATACATAATATGGTAGTAGGTTTAACGAACGAACATTGCTCGTGGTCTCCGTTTCACGCTCTACTGTCCATGGTTCGATGTCCGTGAGTACGTAGACATAGCTTATAGTTAGTAAGTAAAATCAGGACGGTTTAAATGTCGACACCAATGAGATTTAACGTTCTGTCAATCATGTCAATTTAATTTTGATACCTATTTACTTTATTAATATTCAAAAATTTGGTGTTTTGGCAGTTTTTGCTTCTTAGTCTTCACAAACAGTATAGAAAACACCATAGGTGTAGGATAGGATCAGGTCCATGGAAGTAAAAGTTGTTTACTATTTACTTGCTGATAATGATAGCATTAGAAATTAATCAGAAACATCCATAACAAAGACGTACAAAGCCTCATGTAAAATAGGTAAACTACATATTAATTGATAAGTAACTTAACAATATTTCTTAATTAACATAAAAAATGTACGATACTTTCTTTGTCCCGCATGCATTCTTAAATGTTCCATGATTTGCATTGGTGAGTTTTTCTTAATGAGGTCGCAATTTTTTCATGACTTCGACATCAACAATCCACATTACCTACGAGTATGTTAACATAATTATTTGTTAAAACATTATTATCGTATGCTAGTACGAGAAACATCTACTCGTAATTGTAAATAAACACCTGTGCTACCTTTCACTCACTCTTTATTCTATCTCGATCACTTATTCACGTTCGGAAACTTATCCCACATTGTCCCACAGCAATGTCAGTCCTCACAATCCCATATTTAATGTATAGGTATACTATACCCATATATTGAAAATTTTTCGATAAACATAATGTTCTAACATTTTTACACAGATGACATTTACTTAGGTATGCTATAAACAAACACCGGTGTAAAAATTAAAGAGGGTAGTTGAAAAATGTTTGAATCATAGCGCAGTAGTTAATGTCAATGATTATTGTTGTGGCGTTGCTATTTGTGACAGTGTTTTTAATAAATAAGGAATATGTATATGATTGTATTTGTAAAATATTGTTGTGGCAACCAGGTACAGCATGACAAAAGATGCAGAGGCGGCAGACTTCGACCCATTCACAGAACGGAAGTTGGAGAACCCTACTTCGTAAGTTTTTTCTTCCTAATTTTTCTTTTTACAAGCTTGTTATTTTTCGAGGTTACAAATGATTTGTGATTAGTTTTAAACAAGTATCTCAATACAGAAGACAGCGTCAACGGTATAGTTAAAAAATCGCTAGTGTTATAATAGGTATGCAGTCAATCCAAAGTCTGCAAAATGTTGTAGTTTTGAGATATTTAGAAATGATGTCACTCGTTAAATTAATATTAACTACGTAAGTAAGTAAAATTAAAGTTAAAGGTTTAAATAATAGTTTTCAGTTGATTTTATATGAACCCAAACCTACTATGCCTCAATCCTGCAAGGCTAGGTTAACACTTTATACAGTCACTTCTGTGTATAAATATAATTATCATCTCAAGTCAGATGTAGGTGTGTAGTCTTCATCACAATATTTACAATATCAGTTTAACACATACGAGTATATTTATCAAATAATATGAAGTTATTTAAAGGTGTAGGTATTCCATCTCCTTATATGTAGATAACCTAGGTCGGAAATTATAAGTTTCATTATTATCGCGAAAAAGTGTTTGTAAACAGGAATTTTGTTGATATTTTTTTATGTTATCTTACAGTTGTATATATTTGCAAGTCACTACTTATCATCTACAATAACATTATATTTTTTCCTCAGTTAATTTTGAACTTATACCTACAACTTATTATAGATAATACCTATATTGTAAAAGGTAGAAAGGAAATAATACTTATACGTTACAAATTAATCGTGCTACGGTCTGTCGTATTTGTCTGCTGAGCGAATGAGTACCAATTCTAATCACAGAACATTAATATGTGATTCTAATAATAGTGTTAATTTATGTTTTCCTTAATTGCCAGTAAGCTACTTTGCGCTTTTGCGACTTATTTTTAAACACGTTAGCTCGTAATCATTGACTTTTTAAGTTAGTTAATGTAGCAATATCCACGCGTGCTTATTTCTCTCCTTATTCAATGGACTTTTTATTTTAGTAAAATACTAATGATATACTAATGTAGATATCATTTAAAAAAAAAGCAATGTTTATTTTTACGGGTCAATCAACATTTGCATACTTACCTGATTAATGTTCCTACCTGTAGGTATCTTAACAACCGAGTTACTGGGTTTTAGCATTTATAATGTTAAATAACAATCATTAATTATTATTTCACTTGAAAAATTCTTCTGCCTTAACCAGTCCATCCTCAAAATAAATAAATTAATTTCGTCATCATTCAAAAACGTCTAAAGTCAATATTAATTCAGGTTAAACATAGATTAAAAAGCGGTAGTTCATTCTAACCGAATTTTAAAAGGAAGAGGTGGTCAATTCCATTCGTTTTTTTTATTCATGTCTACTTTGCTTACGAAACCGTAGTACTTTAACCGACTAAGGCTGAGTTGCACCACCTTATTTTAACCGTAACAATAACAGTAACCGGTGCTTTTTGTATGGAGTTTGACAGATTTTTGACGTTTGTCAAAGTAAAGTAAGATGGTGCAACTCAGCCCTAAAAAAAGAGGTTGTGAATTCATGTGTTATTTTTTTAGTTCAGGCCAGTATCAAGGCTGACTGACTAGCTAGGTGAAGACTAAGTTCACCGCCTCTCTTTCCAGAAACATGGACACACTCACCCATCTCCTGAAGGCATCCCTGGGCACCGGTATCCTGGCCATGCCCATGGCCTTCAAAAATGCTGGATTGGTCGCAGGCATTTTCTTCACTATTCTAGTAGCTGTTGTTTGCACACACTGCTCGTACGTACTGGTAAGTAACATGTTGATAGGTTAAAAAAAATAGTAATGTTTAAAAAAAAAAGGTACGAGAATGTGTTTACCTAATATGAAATTATATTTAAATACACACAAATTAATACGGTTGAAATTCTAAATACCTAGCTGTTGGTTGACTAACTTTTACTTTTTCTGCAAGCGAATGTTAACTATATAGGTTCTAGGTAGATACTATTTATATGCATAGCGATTTCTTTTCTATAGCTTAGATTTGTTCTGCTAGTGCGAAAATTTTAAAGGAACTTATTATTACATCAGAAAATAATTATTACATCAGAAAATACTTCATCACAAAATTTCCTGACTGATAGGTTCAAGGGCCGGTCAATACGCAGATATAAAACTGATAAATACAACGCATCGAAAAACAATGTAGCTTCTGATTATTTAGCAGAATATTTAAATCTATTTATATACTTATCTATAAAAGCGAAGGGTCTCTTATTGACTGACTGACTGACTCACTCATCACGAAATCTCAGAAACTAACAAGTGCTAGGAGAACGTAGGTGCTCACTAAGACGAGATTTAGCAAAATCCAAATTTCAACGCATACGAAGTCACGGGCGGCCGCTAGTTGATAAAAACACTTTTCTCGTGAATGGCTCTTAATAAACCGTCTTTAGGTTCATATTGCAAATTACCCAGTTCTCGTTAGGTATAGCAATACCTACATACCTACATAGTACTGGAAATTGATAGCAATACATAGGAGAAATTCACATGATTAATAATTCACACATAAATCAAACAGAGTTTTAATTATGTAAATATGTTAACTTTACTTGTTGTAAAATTGCCGTAACTTACAAATTATACAATCATGACTTCTGTAATTGGTTCTTTATTCAATAGCTATTTAATTTAAGCGTTAACTTCCTTTGTCTTATAACCCAATTGGAATTTGATTTAAGTGTCACCCATTCCAGTCGTATTGTTTTAAACGCCTACTTAAAAGTAACTAGGATTTGTTAATCTTCAAAATAGCTTTTGCAACTGAAACTGCAAATTCGAGTAGGAAGTACGACGAGTAGGTATTGGAATCCTACTAATACTCGTATTATAAATGCGAAAGTGGATGTAACCTATGTTTGTACTTCATGCAAAAACTTCTGAATGGATTTTGATGAAATTTTACAGCATAAGTTTATAACTCAGAAGATCTGTGACCAACTGAATTTCACGCGGATGAAGCCGCGGGCAAGAGCTAGTCTTATCATAAAGTTACTGTCTGGTTAATGGATTTTGTCTGTAACCACAAAATCAAAATCAAAATCAAAATCAAAAAATATTTATTCAGTTTAGACCACAAGTGGCACTTATGAACGTCAATAGAAAATAATAAAAAAAGAAAAAGGTAGCCCTTATGGGGCACTTTACATGTCTCCTTATCTTTTGGGCCCTACCAGCGCTTCGAGACAAACATATGGCAAGTGCTGAGAAGAAACGCCGGAACAAACTCAGTAACACAAGTACAAACAAATAAGTACTTCTATTTATGTTGTAAATAAATAGAAATTCAGTTTATAAGCTAGGTATTCGCTATCGTAGTAGACGCTGTGCGAAAGAACTACCAGTTGGTGTTAACTGTCAACTCAACACACTTGTATCATAATTATATGTTCTTGTCCCCAGGTAAAGTGCGCCCACGTTCTGTACAAGAAGACCAGGAAAACTAACATGACCTTCCCAGAAGTGGGCGAGGCGGCTCTCGCTAATGGACCGGAGAGATTACGAAGCTGGGCTTATTCCTTTAGGTAAGTGGGAGATATTTTTAAAAGGAATATTAGTGATTAATTATGAATACAAATGACTAATAGTCATGTTAATCCCTCGTAGTAAGCTAAATTACCTATGCTTGTTACGAGTGGACGTGTCCCGGTTTTAATTCAAAATCTACTCTGTCCAAAGTTAATTCATTCGCCAAGAATTAGACATGCTTGACTACTGCGTCCATTACATTTTTGTCGTAAGGAACGCTATGGGCAACGGAATGAACTATGGTTGCAGATGAGAAGGGCCTCCCTTAATCCTTATGTGTCCAGGGCCCCCTAGTAGGTTAAAGACGGCCCTGATTTTGAGTTCGTTTACCAGGTTGTACCTGTGGTTGGAACACTCATGTCTATTGAAATTCAACAAATTGCAGGCTTGAACCTTGATAATTAATAAATGAGTAAGTAATGTCTGCATCAATCGGATGTAGGTGGCCAGCGCTACTTCCTTTGAAGAGGATACATTTATCTGTCATTTTACTGTTTAAAAATAAAATGAAACTCAAACATTAGCTTAAATACGTCATGCTTTGAATAAGTGCGAAAATCAATTGTTTTTTCTTTTTTCAGAGTGTTTATCCTCGTGAGTCTCTTCGCGACCTACTTCGGAACCTGCTCAGTGTATACAGTTATCGTAGCCAAAAATATATTACAGGTAGGTACATTTTTACATTTTCATTAAACTACAATAGTTTATTTTCGTTAAACATGTCAAAAAGGTAACATTTGCGTTATGTGACAAAACTCACTTAACTAGGCTAGGGCTTTAATTTGTCCATACTTATTATTGTGAACTTTCATGTAGGTGGTTTTTAAAGTATTTTTTATCAATGTGACACGTGCTTCTTAACTGATTATTACATGCAGCCTTATATTCTTTACAGGTGGTGGCATACTACATGGACAAACAAGATGAAGAGGTTGAAATCAGGATATTCATCATCGCCCTCCTCTTACCCTTGATCTTCATGTCCTGGGTCCGCAATCTAAAGTACCTCGCGCCTATATCTATGATCGCCAACGTCTTCATGGGCCTCGGTCTTGGAATCACTTTTTACTACCTCGTCGGGACTGGTGAACTGCAAACCGACAATATGAAGAACATGCTCTTCAAGCCTCCTGCAGAATGGGCTCAGTTCTTCTCACTAAGTATTTTTGCCATGGAAGCTATTGGTGTGGTGATGCCACTGGAAAACGCGATGAAAACGCCCCGTGCTATGCTTGGCCTTTGCGGAGTACTCAATAAAGGAATGTCGGGAGTTACACTGGTCTACATTCTCCTTGGATTCCTTGGGTATCTTCGATTCGGGGAGTCCGTCAGTGATTCCATTACCCTTGATCTGGATAAGACACTGATGTAAGTAGGATTGTAAATAACATGTAATATGTAAGCAAATTGTTATACGAAATTTCTTTCGAACGAATTAGTTGTTCGCAGCAAATTGTTTTATGGAAGTTTTAAAGATTAAGCATGAACTAAGTCCTTACAAGCATAAATAGTACGGCCACGTGCTGTGACTTCAAATGTTTCAGTTTTACCGTTATCTTTCAATCTACAACCAAATATTTCATTCTCGTCACTTCAAAAATGTAGTCATTTACTGACAGTCATTTTGTTTGTTCCAGCCCTGCCCAAATCGTGAAGATAGCTATTGCTATTGCAGTGTTCTGCACGTACGGGCTCCAGTTCTACGTGTGCATAGAAATCATGTGGAACGGAATCAAGGACAAGTTCACCAAGAGGCCGGACCTCGCCGACTACATTATGAGAACCATCATGGTGACCGTGTGTGTTCTGCTGGCCGTGGCTGTGCCAACCATCGGCCCCTTCATGGGCGTCATCGGAGCCTTCTGCTTCTCCATCCTCGGCCTCATCGCCCCAGCCTTCATCGAAGTCATCACCTACTGGGACATCGGCTTCGGCCCAGGCAAATACCTCATCTGGAAAAACATACTCGTCCTCATATTCGGCTTGTTCGCCTTAATATTCGGTACCAAAGACGCCATCATCAATATCGCAAAGGAATATAGTTAAGTAACAATCATACAACGGACTTGTTTTAAGTCTATGTTAACTATAAGTGTGATAATTAAGAATGTATGGCTTAGCGACTTTTTATACGAGTTACTTTATAAAGTTTATTATATTAGACCAATTTTTTGCTAAATACAAATGGATGATATGGACATGGCACTGCGATAATAATGGTGCTATTTGTTGCGACGTTATTAATGCTTGCTCATAATTGTTCTGAACACATTTCCATAAGTAAATGTGTGAATAGTTTGAAGTATGGGTATTCTTGAAACTAAAAAAAATTCGATTGCATTCCCAACTTAGAAATGAAAATCCGAGACACTGTACAACACGGTCTCATGATCAAAGAGAGTATGTATACATAATATAGGTAAGTAGATACCATAAATTAATAGATGGGAGTGCCAACAATGCGCCCAGAGCGGTGTAAAATATGTCTGCTGAACATCGCTTCATCGCTTGCAATGCGATGACGATGTGCCCTTTCCCTTAGTGAAACTTGGTACCTACTTACCTTTATAGAAGTGATATCTTTTTAGATACAAACGAGGATTAAGATAGGAAATTTTTTACGAGTGTATAGAAAAAGAGCATGTGTATTTTGAGCAATTTTTAAGAAGTGAATGAGGGTACGCATTCAATGTCAGTGTTATCCGAATTATTTACTCTTATATTTTTTTAAATATAATTACTTACACTAGACTTTAGGTCACAATTATATATTTATATACTGACCAAGATCTAGTGAGAATAAGGGTATAAAACAGGAGTACAAGTCGAAGCGTACCGCGAATGCGAGTGTGCAAGGGTTATGTTGAACAAATGCTTGTCAGTCATTCAACACTATCAAAGGATTATTATCGTTGATGACTGTTTTTGCATTTAGTGTTTTTAAGCCGAGTTCTCTATTAAAAACTAGCATGCTGTCCCACATTACATGGGCAAAACGGTACCGTCGTTTATGAGATTATAGCCTTCACCAAGCACCTACACTAAACAGCACAGTGAAATCTCAATGTAGATAAAGTAGTGATGTACAAACTCATTAATTTGTTGTTACAATTTAACTTACAATAAAATACATATTGGGGATAGTCGAATATGCCGAATTCTTAAAATTCGTGACCATTTAAAAGGGGTTCGTTCTGGAGGTTTATCAATATACAAGATTAAGAGAAAAAGATAACGCATAACACAAAAAGACAAAAAATTCAATTAGTCAAGTTGAATAGAAACTAAAAATTAAATACTAGTGCATTTATTTTATTACGTAAGTAATTCGATTGTTCAAGCCGTCCTAAGAATTTTCAGAATTGGGCATTTTTCGAGGTCGAGAAAATCAGTTTTGCACGGTACTCGTAAGTACTCGTAAGTTAGGCGAAGAGGACCGAATACTTAAAAAAAATAAACTAACCAAAGTGAACAGTATACGCCGTTACTAAAATAGAAAACAAACAACTGCACGCAGGAAGATTTATTGAAGGCTACTGACAACGCCACGTGACTCTTTTGGCGGAATTTTGGGCTGAGTCTGTTTAGGTTTGTTGTCGACACGACAAGAAGAAGAAAATAGGTTTTTTCTTGTGTTCTTCACTGTTACTAGGGCATTTTTTCTCATATCAACTTACAAAAGACAAAAATAGTAAAATAGAAATTATCACCAATTTTAGATTTTTTAACGTTTAGGCTCTTATTTTTGAAAATTATAAACACTTTTTGTCCATTTAAAAACAAATGAACAATGTTATTCATTATTTAAATATTAGCGTTATTTCGTTATATCCAGAAATATTGATTGAACTCATTTATACAGCCTATAGTTGACCTTTAGGTTCACATCAGCCGCCGGCGGTTCAAGTGTACCTCTTACTGTAGTAGTAGACCTGTGTCATCAAGCTGGTCGATTTCCCTGTACATACCATTGTAGACATAATATTTGTTGTCATTAGCATTATTATCATCCAAAATAAATGTTATTTGCGAACGTGACAGATCAATATAAACATTACCTAATAGTGTGGGTATTTCCTATGAAGGAGTAAACCAACTTTTTATTAAATCCACTGCTATTATTGTGTATGTACTATCGGCAAGTGTTAACTACCCATTGCCGGTCCTGTCATCTGGTTCTATCGCAAAGAATCACCATTTGATGAGAGCGAGAGCAAAAACGGTAATGGAGAGTTAGCACAGTGGCCGATCCTACCTAAGCAAGATCGCCATTGTCATTCCATACATTATTTTAAGTAATTAAGCGTCGATAAAAATGTGGAAAATGTTTGTGTTGTATAAAAGCCCGAAAGTAATTTATATGATGTATTGTTATGGTAGAAATACATTTTACTATCATGTTTTGTACAAATCACAGTATGTGGACACTTCTTACGATTTGTCTAAAAAACTAAAGAAACACAATCGTCTTGCTGTACCTATCCACAATCAAAATAAATCAAATCTGTTTAAAAATAATGATTAATATTTACGATCTTTCCCCACAAGATGCCATCAGCAAATACATTAATTAAGTTTATTTATGCAGTTTGCCTATTTTTTGTTCTAACTTCAAGCGATAAAATTTCGCTTAACTGAGTATACATCATGTACCCACATATATTTAATTAAAACATAACAAAAACAAAAGTTCCTATTTACCGAATGGTATAATTTTTTGGTATTTACCACTGTATGTTTTGTTAATTTAAAATAATTGCATAATTGATTGTAACTAATGTATTGAAATTGTTTAATTAAATTACAAACGTACAAGCTCTTCTCAAAATTTGTTTCATTTGTATTAATAGCCCAGGGAATGAAAGAAAAAAAGAGGTTTTTTGACACAAAAAAAAAAGTGTTTATCGTGTACCAAAAAGTACACCCGCTTAGCAAGGAGGAGTACCTATATCCCGTCAGTTGTGAATGAGGAATGAGGGTTAATCCCACTCCCAGCTTATACATTTTAGTAGTAACATATAAGTAAGACATGGTGGCATGACTAGCATCACGATGATTATACAGCTTTTGTGGTTATGGTATCCCGGTTAACTACCTTGGAGCTATAATATGTACCTATAGCTGAAACGGCGGCTGTTGGCGCTAGGTGGCGCCACCATCTTGTCCAATCAAATAAAAAAATATATTTATTCAGTTTAGACCACAAGTGGCACTTATGTCCCGGTGAAATAGAGCATTACCTACTCAAGTTCAAAAATGTGTTGTTAATAAATCGATTTTGCCAATGGTTGCTGTTTTTAGCTATAAGAACCATTTTTGGTGTCATATTTCAATAAAATAAGGTTCTATGACAGATAAATCTCAAGATCGCTCTAAACTCGTAATTTTCAGCGTTCTTACGCACTAGCGGTTAACCGCAGGGGCGGCTTAGAGTAGGCGCACACCGTTGATTTTTCGTCGGCCGATAGTTTAGTCGGGCAGTTGATCAGTATGGGCATGTATGGGATTGCGCACACTACGCCGATTCGATTTGGCCGATTCTTCACACAATTTAAAATCGGGCACAACTATCGGCCAACTAAAAATCAACGGTGTGCGCCTACTCTTAGTGTTATTGTTAAATACGGGCCGAAGTGTGTAAGGGAAAAATAGGATAAAAAAGAAAAATCAAATTGAAAATTATTGTTTATTTATTCATGAACAGTGTCTATTCTCGCTAAAATTATGAAGAGAGCTCACTGTAAGAAAGTTAATATTACAAAATAGATAGGTACATTATAAGTTTACAGGATAAAGAAGTATTATTTTCACTGTTCAACTAAAAACTATTACAAATTATATAAAATAGTCACTTAAAAATACTTTTGGACTCGGTAACCTAAATTTAATACATGAAAAATAAAACCTAACTAAAGTGTATGTAGGTGAATGTATAATACCATTGAATTAAATGCAGAAATAAACTGTAAAAATTCGTAATTTGCTTTTGACAAATAAATATTTAGTTAAGGTTTTAGGATTAAATAAATTGCTCAACAATTTTTGATAACATCAAAATAGAGTCAAAGGTCCTTCATATTATATGTATAAACTTGTGCTTAATAAGTAAAATGTAGATTATATTGTATGCTGTATGAAAACTCAAAGGTACGTAAATAATATCAGTTTAGTTAAAAGTAAAGACCTAGCTAGAAGATTAATAACCGTTGTCTACTTTAATATTTATTCACGATTCCAAATATCAATTCTCATTGACAAACGGCATAATGTTATGATGGTGGAACTTATTAATTTAGGCCTACGATGCATAAAACTAATAATGTCGATTGAATTCCCAGGTAAGACTGAGAACGCGAGTGCGAGGCGAAGTAAAACGGATAAATATTTAAAAAGTTCGATGTCAATGTAAGTCGGCCATATTGATTTCACAACTGTCATTGTCTATTGGGGCCTTCTTCACACTCTGGTCGCATCCCGCGCTTTCAGTGTGGCCATAAAACATCGACGAACCTAGAAAAAGCTCATAAAGCCGCAACATTTTAAATGTCTGTTTCCAACCTTAAAACTAGACAACAATAAATTGTTGAAAATAAACATTGAATTCTCATTCTAAGTAGATAGTATAAGGTTCTGCTACATTTGAATGATTTATACATAGTAAAAATTTATACAGACTATTATATCTTTGTAAATGGAGTATTTTAGCGACTTGAAAATTTTAATGCATGCAGGCGTTTGACATGGCTACCCTCTGCACTAGTTAGTACCCTCAAGGCCCTTGAGTCAAGGGCATTAGGGTATCTAGCGATACTTCACACGTACGTACACGCACCTAAACTAATTTATGTAATCAAAAATTCAGTCGATGTTCACCAAGGAAGTTATGTGTGTTAAATACTTAAGTTAGAAGTCATTAATACAAAAGAAAGCTATGTATTAAGAATATTGTCAGGCAAAAGTTTAATCACGTAAATCGTAAAGTATTCTCACTTCTGCTTGAGCAGAAATCTCGCTAATATGAATAATTTTACTAATGCATTAGTTAATCGTGTCAGTTCTAGGCTAGTGATTTATTTGTATTTTTTATGCATAACCAACCAGGCATGTATTAGATCACAATCACACCTGGTGTTAAGTGGGATGCAGTCTAGGATGGTACATATCTGCCCTGTGCCTATTCACTCTCGCCTTGAAAATCCAGGCCGTATTATAGTCTTCGGGAAAGACAGCGCGAATTCCGTTCGAATTCCAGTCCCTAGCTGTATTAAACGATGCGGCGACAATACCACCGTCAGCAATGGCGCCAAACAGGTATGTAATTAAATTCACTATTTTTATTAATGCCATCGAAATAAGTAAATGTATTGAATTGTTACAAAGTGCGAAATATTGTCAAAATACTTATGTGGATGGATATTATCTATGTATTTACACACTATTTAAGAAAACCAAGTGACACCAATTGGTGTCGACTGATGGAACACGATTCGTGTAGGCACTATGTCACTGTAATTTATATGTATTATGGAAGAGAGAGAAGACGCAAAAATCTCCTCAGGGTTAGGTAATCAGGTATAGATCGTTCCATCCACGAAGAAGCGCCTCACCAATTTTTGGTCGAGAGAAGCGCAGGGTGCGGGGAGTTTGATCCGAGCAATCTGAGCGTCCATTATTGTAGTGTGCCTGTGCACTCATGAATAATTTAGCGTGTATCAATAACACTCAAACATTAGCGAAAGAATGGTGGGGCGCGTCTTCGTGGATGACACGATGTATAGTTAATATTTTAAGTAAATTGAGATGTAACTTGGGGTTGTAAGAACTGGAATCTTCACTCTGAGAGGATTGTTAAAAACATACGAATAAAAAACGAGCTTGCTCTATTAGTTTGTAAGTCAGTTAGTTTCAGAATCCGTTACTTTTGGGCCTTGAGAATGCGAAGTTCTTCCAAACCTTGGTTATCAATTAATATGGTTTCTCTCTATAAACGCTCTAGCTTAAGTATTGACTACCTCACTAAGATTACAAGAAAAATTGTGGGTAAATGTAAGTACAATGTTCTATAAAAGGTAGTGGTGTCATCTGATTTCTCAAATTAGTAAGGATTAAGATGTTATTCAATGAATTTGAAAAGCATTTATCTATTTCTATATTATGATATCGAGAAGTACCTAGTATTTTTTCGGTGACTTAATTGTGAGAGTAGTTAAATTACAGACAACAGCACATTAAGATAAACACTCGAGTACTTATTTTCTTGTAATTAGGAGCGATTTTTCAACAAAAATTTTTAGTCTAATGTGCTGTTGACAGTATTATGCCGCATATGCTCATCTCTTCTATGACATTGAATAACAAATAAACCCCGTATATAACGTTATTTTGATCACAGTAATTATTCCTGTTGCACAAGCACGACTCTAACTTTTATCTGTATATTCCTACAATCTAAAGATTTACCACGAGGCTAAACACATCAACATTATTCACAGATTTAGACAAATCTTAATTGAATTTTAAAGCTAGATTGTTCAATAAGATTACATCTCCAAAAATTGAGTTAGTAAATATTCCACAACTTGCGCTAAGTATAGTAATTTTTGAACACCTTTACATTACTATTACAAATAATACCACGGTATAAGTACGTAAGTATCCAAGGAATAAACTTTTTGTTGGCAAATAAGTAACAAATAAATAATATACTGTCTTCGTGACAATATAATATTCTGAAATACGTGTAACTGGTAGCAAGTCCATAATTAAAATCGTATTGTTTATTATGAAATAAAACTATAACGTTTCTATTTTAAAATCAAGACTTAAAATATTTTGTAATACAGAAATGTAAAAACTTCATACTGCATATAGAATTTGAAATCCATGTCAATTAGTTTTTATTCGGTTACTAATTTATGTCTAAAGAGGTCTTATGAAGTAAGTATATTCCAATTCAGGAATTGAAGCTAAAAATGTAACGTGTTAGTCTAGAATGGCATGTCATTGTTTGTTAAATTAGTTAACATAAAGCGTTAATTACAAATTTTTCTGTTGTTATTATGAACATTTTGCCGACTTTAAAAGAAATGCATATGCAAGTATCTTTGTATCGCAAAAACCTTCACCATTTTCAGCTATATTTATACCTATTCAATTAAATTAAAAGTTATCGACTGTCAGGAGAAAACAACATCCTAAGTCACACCCCTTTAAACTATTTCAGTCTATACTGGCAAACGAAATTGGACGGACATGTAATTAACAAAATAATATTCACCCAATGATGAGTTTTGTTATTGAACTTAAATACACCACTATATCCTACAGATAAACGTCAATTTGCATCCGTCTTTTAAAAATGTCAAGTACATATGAGTATAATGATAAAAAATATTTATGAACAATTACATAATCCAATCGTTGTTTAAAATTACACCGTAAAACATATGATTGAAGAGCAAAACCCTTAAATTATTTAATTTACACTAACTGGTGCTTATAGTAAACTATTTAGCTTACCTACACAAAATTATAAAATATATAAGACTGGCTTGCCCAATTATCTTAACACATAAGTAAATAGAAATGGCACAACTTTTTGTTGAACATAATAAATTTTGGACGTCTACAGTATTTGCTCTAAAACAACGAAACAGTGCCTAATTCAAAATACAATCGATAATAATTTTCCCATAATTGCAATAGAAACAGTTAAGAATTATCTATTTCTTTCGAAAATATGCATCGATAGTATTAACACACTATTCATCACTAAATCTATAGTAAGTTCTAATTCTTTGCTATTCTATTTATTTTCTGAAACTGCTAAATAATTTAGAGGTAATTTATTAAGGCAGAACGATGTGAAGTATTATGGAAGCCAAGTAGTGTATCAAAGTCAGCTGTATCGCTGTGTACTGAACGTTTTATCTAGCTAGTCTACAAACCCTATCCTTGTTTACAACCTGACAAGATTTACTGGCCAAATACAGGATTTAATTTATATTTGTAAGATACAACTGTAAACCTTTTCGAGATAATCGCAATTTAATGACATTTCGATTATCACTAAACTTTTATTAGCTCGCAAAGGATTTCAAGTATGAATAGTTTTCTTGAAAAAATGCAATTTAAACCAGTTTGATAGTAAGAATAAAATTGAGGTACAGTCAGCGTCGAATAGTAGTGATACCAATAGAGGCCAAAAAGTTGAAAAAGAGGCTGACAATAGTGTCTGAGTTTCTTGCGCTGCTTCTTCTCAGCACTGGCCCATTTATTGTCCTGAAGCAGTGGTAGGGTTAATACTGGGACGTGTAAAAGTGCTTTTTTAAAGCCTACTTACAGAAATAAATGAGTTTTACTGACAACACCACCCTATTCCCATTGTAACAATGACGTGTTGTGAACTTATTGGCTACTTTGAGTGTCACGAACTATTATAACGCTGACTGTAGGACCAATAATCCTGCATGGCTCGAATTAAAAGAGCTGATACGAATAGAAAGTACATATAATAAAATCCTCACAATAGTTTATCTGTAGGTAGGTGCAGCCTATTCACATTTAAGGAGTTTTACTGATTATTTATTTTATTAAACCACTACTAGTTGAAAAATGGCAGCTCAAAATTTAGCTTGATGAATGAAAACTTCAGTTTTAAATTAGTGCAGTCATCAGAAAAGATGTTTTCTTCCAAGTTTTTCAACTTTTATTATAACTGTTTTATTTTATTGTAACTGACACTGGCAGTATTTTTGCACGGAGAAAAGAGACCGATACGCTCAATCTTAATTTAGTTTAGACACTGTCAGAATCTCTACAATTCTATAATGTTTTGATGAGCATGATAAAGTATGTGAATGATCCTTCTAGCCGTAACTATGGTGGTACAGCAGCTCAAACCATAATTAATTATTAAATATCAATCCGTCAGACTTTGGAATCCACAAAACTCTACAGTTTAGCACAATCTGTAAATCCTTTGTTCAACTAGCAGATTATGTTTCTATGGTGACAGCTAATGTACTCTAGTCAATATGGCGACACCTACGCTAGCCGGCCAAGCCTAACTGCCTAATAAACTTTCCACACCCATACAAACAAACATCTTGATCATTCTCCCAAGTCAGCAGCAACAAAAATGTCCATTTTAACTAATTCCTTCGTGTCAGCTCTTTTCAACAACTTGTACTTAATTTAACATTGACTTGCACATCTTAAATCTAATATATCAATAACAGTTTAACTGACATTATTGCAATTCTCACTGTAGGTTTATAATTCGCAGATAATTCAAAACGACCAACTTTAAAATTTCACGTTCCAACACATTCCATAAACTTAAATATACAAATAGAATGTATACAGGGTGTTAGGTAAATGGGTATATGAGCCGACACTAGCCCATGTTAACATGGGCATATAAATGGTATGGTGAAGTCAGAAATTTGATATCATCATTTCAATTTTTTTAATTTTCATACAAAATAAATTTTATAAAATCCGATTTGTATGAAAATTAAAATAATTAAAATGAAGATATTAATTTTCTGACTNTTATAAAATCCGATTTGTATGAAAATTAAAATAATTAAAATGAAGATATTAATTTTCTGACTTCACCACACCATTTATATGCCCATGTTAACATGGGCTAGTGTCGGCTCATATACCCATTTACCTAACACCCTGTATAGTGATATAATTAAATTCATACCAACTGCTACGCTTCTTACGTAATTAGTCCACACTAGCAAAATGATGTACAGCGTATTTCACAATAAATAATATCTAACTATCTAGCATCGTAACTAACTTTGTAAAATTACTTATTACACATTTATCATCTTGTATATTAATGTATGTGTTACCGCTAATTTGTGTTTATTAGTTAATATTGACTTGTTAATCGTGTCAGTTTTTGCACTAACTAGTTTATCTGCAGAGTGCTAAGTGGATAATTTATAACTACAATAAAGTATTAGATAGTGTATTTTTTGTTTAATAAAACGTTGTCATTGATCGGAATAATATACAAAACTTATTTATTTGTTCAAGCACGCGATTGTAGGATATTCTACCGTAACACAAACAGTGAACAATCTCAAAAACCTGTCTGTTACTCTCATTCCGTTACTAAGAAAACTAACTATTCATAAGAAAAGAGCAAAACTCTTCTACTTTCTGTACATATTAATTTGCAGATTGCCTAGTTATTGCGCGGATTACACATTTAAACGGTAACACATAAATATTATAATTTGAGTCGAGATTCATTGATCACATTCAATCTAGGGAAAAGTTTTGAGAATCAGTGGTTTTCAACTTTTGGAAGATTTATGAAACGTCGAAGTTGGCTTAAGCTGATGACAAAGGTTTAAATACAATTGTACCTATTTTTACCCGACTGCTCCAGAAGGAGGGTTATTGATAATCTGTAAGACTCCAAATATGCATGTTCTGAGCGTGTGCCTCTCCTGAAAGTGGGATGAAGCAGCTGCCATACTATTGCTTATAAAATGAGTATTAAATGCATGGAACAAATGAACACGATTCCAAATATCATGGTTGCAAAACGTATACGTGTGAGAATACAAATGCAAATTTAAAAAAGGTCGAGAATTTCTGTTACTTTTATTCGCTTGTATGGAAGACCATGTCCAGCAGAGTCTCTGCTGAAGCAAATGAATGACCTTTTCTAATCAAAAACACATTTATCTCAATTTTCTAAGCCTTGAACATGCTCCAGCGGCATAACGTTAACTTGTCTTGGTCTCAGTCATCAGCTTTAGACTTGAAATTTTCTACACAACATATAAAAATACACTATTTCTTTCTACATACTACCCAAACATACAGAAACCTAGATACACCTAAATAAAATAAAAATAATAACTTACAGACATGAATAAATAAATAAAATATTTAGCATGCATACAAATGATGTTAAATATATTTTATACGTTAGTTAAAATATTGCGTTATACATTTTAATTCCAAATATATACAACTAAATGCATAATAAAATAAATCACATAACAATATCGCCGTAATTCCAGGGACGACTTTGTTTTTTTCCAATTGAACTATTTAACAGTCAAAGAAGTACTTGAACTAACGTATATTTATGTAATCGTGAAACAAACGGTTAATTTATAATGATCAACATTATTACATACTTACAATACAGAACACGGTCGCAAGCGATTCATCTTTTAAAGATACATAATAATAAACGCCTGTTATAAAATATTTTTTATATGTCAGCAGTTTCTTGCATTTCATACTGGCATTAGATTCATTTCCTAATATTCAGTTAAGATAGGTCGTCTCATAAATAGTAAAATTTATAGATCCAAAGTTAACATTATCAGATTGTTTATTCCTCGAGTATAATAATTTCCTTTTAGATAAGTCTACTCTAAATTATCTATACATTTATTTAATGCAGATCTTTTACCTAGCGCTGTCGGCGCTTCTAAAGCCGATTACATACTTTTACAATTTTACAATTACCATATATAAACAGCTAGATCAGATGAACAAAGTTAATTAGCGCTGACGCAGTATGCTTACTCCGTGCTCAATTATGGCAGTTATCGATTAATCTAATTGAAATTCAGTTTATTTAAGATCGTACAGATCCTGAGATTCTATGTATCTTTGAGTGATGATGCGACCGGAGTCGACTACCGGAGTCAGGAGTTCCTCAGATGGCACTTGGATTCTGATTCTGTTGTCGGATGGGAGGTTATTGGCCCCGTTGCTTGGGTAGAAGCCCAGGGTCATCGGTTTGTGGTGTTCCTCGTAGGCTTTGTATTTGGAGGGGCTGACGGGGTGTAGGTGGGAGGGGCTTGCCGCGAGCGGGTTGTAGGTCACGTGGATACGTACCACGTCATCGGAGAGCGGGGAGACGGACGGCGGGTGCGGGGTGGCGCGGGGGGTGGAGTGCGTGGTCGACGGCGCCCTCTGTATACTAAGCCCGCATATTCCTGACCTGGAATCGAGAACAATTGACGGTGAATTTGGGAGGAAATCTCGTCGAAAGTTTTAAGAGATTACGCAGCTACGAGTATAGATTGTACAACGATCTTATTTGATAGAATTAGATATAGTAGGGACGTGTAAGCTTAGGCGCAGACCACAGATTTTTAGGTGGCCGATAGTTGGGTCGGGCTGTTGATCAGTATGGAGATGTATGAAAGTGCGCACATTACACCGATTTGGTATCGGTCGATTCTTTGTGCAAACTAGAATCGGGCCCAACTATCGGTCAAATAAAAGTCGGTGGTCTGTGCCTAGGCTATAAGAGCTTATTATAAGATAAATGAATTTGAATATTTGGGATTTTATCATTAAAATTCCAAATGACTATCCCTAAATAGGAATAATCAGCACTGAGGCAGTCGATTTCATTTAAATTTTTTAGGCCCACTTTTGTGACATAATAATACTATACTACTATGAGCGTTCCTGATTATGTAATTCAAGATTAAGAAAGCTTAATAATATCTGATAAGTGTAACTGCCTCAATAAAATTATTATCGCATTTTTATGGTCTCGAGTACTAGTACTAGTAATTAGGCTATTAGATAGTTTTATGTATGTAAGTTTTATAGCCCTGAAAAATAATCCCATTTGATAAGACGGTTTTCGTACATATACATACAGGGCGTAAGGAACAAATAGAAAAACCTGATTCTTAACTTAGAAGTATGGTCTGAACTGAATCACTGTTTGTGATTTTGTCAACCTGTTCTTTGTACCCTGTATACATTAGCAGCTACATGTAAAACTACTTAAAAGGGTTTCATTTTGTAGCTAATAGGTATACTCATTGAAAATTGTACAACAAATATGCTATTTTAATATCTTGTTTATAGTCAAGCTTTAAAAATTAGGAACCAATAAGAGAAATGCAAGAAGAGTGACGTTATCATCATCAAAGAACAGTCAAACTCGCATGAAAAATATGTACATGTAAAAAGAATAGTTGTATTTACCTATGTGATATAATTAAGTATGGATTCTGATTTAATTGTCATATTTTAATAGTCATTTGTGTCGCATATGTATAATAACTATTTATGTAACATGCATTATTCCCTATTGTAAAAATGTTTCAGTAAATAAACGTTACGAGTATGTAATTACCGATAATATTTAATTTTTTTTTTAATTAGAGAACATAAAGTAATCACAGATCTAAAACTCATAATATTTCGAACTCTGTAGGCAAGAATGCTATATTCTTTACTTATCTAATTATGGAAACAGTTTTTGAAAAGAGTAAAAGTATGACAAAAATGTATCTAACTACGCTTTGCGCTGAGCGTTTTAGTAATGGATACAAATCTAGAAGAACGCTTTAATAATGGATAAACTTTAAGCAGCCTTTAGAAAAAAATTAAGCTTACCAGCGACAGCCTCGCTTACGCTGCGTTATACAGGGTGACTGGAACTGAACCCGCCATAGCTAATAGGCGTATAGAAGAGGTCATTTGCTAATTATTGAACCTTACTTTCTATGGCTAAAGTTTTATAGTTTAGGAGATATGTCAATTTTTATACTTTTTTCAGATTTTTCCGAAATTTGACCTAAAAACTGCTTCAATTTTTTTTCTCGCGTGATTTCAACAGTTTTTTTTATTTGATATTAATATCGAATATGTCTTTATTCAAATAAAATAAATTTCTGATCCAGATAATGATTGAATAGCTAGTTACAAGCCGCCAAAGTTCAACAAAAGTACAAACCACGATAAAAAATTCTACTTCAAATTCGATTGAAACAAAAATTAATGGTGATAATGGATTTCCAATAATCTTAAAAATATCTCCAGCTTCTCTTCTTTCCAATGATATATCACACGTTGTAATTGGATATTGAAATTTATCAAAAATTCAAAGTTTATGGAAGAAAATGGAGTAATAATACAAAAATTATCCATACAAAGTTGATATTGAATTTTTTTAATTTTTTTTTCTTTATAATGTGATTATTATTTTTAAATTCATTTAAAAAAAAACACGAAAATAGTTATGAAAAGGAGTAGGTATAGCAGAAAATATGAGTTGTTTGAAGAAACTTTGTATGGATAATTTTCGTAAATTACTCCATTTTCTTCCATAAACTTTGAATTTTTAATAAATTTCAATATCTAATTACTAAGTGTGATATGTCATTGGAAAGAAGAGAAGGTAGAGATATTTTTAAGATCATTGGCAATCCATTATCACCATTAGTTTTTTCTTAAATTGAAATCGAATTTGAATTTTTTATCGTGGTTTGTACTTTTGTTGAACTTTGGCGGCTCGTAACTAGTTATTGAATCATTATCTAGATCTGAATTTTATTTTATTTGACTAAAGGTTTATGCCATATTAGTATCAAATAAAAAAATCGGTTAAAATCATGCGAGAAAAAAAATTCAAGCAGTTTTTAGGTCAAATTTCGGGAAAATCTGAAACAAGTATAAAAATTGTCATATCTCTTAAACTATAAAACTTTAGCCATAGAAAGTAAGGTTCAATAATTAGCAAATGACCTCCTCTATACGCGTATTAGCTATGGCGGGTTCAGTTCCAGTCACCCTGTATAATTAAAAGCTTACCAAAGCTTGTTCGAGACTGAATTTATTAAAATTGTCATTAAACCTGTATACTGTCATACCTCGAAGATATAGAACTCCTTAGCGATCCTTGGTAAGGTTTACGGTTTCGTTCAGGGGACCGCTTAGTGTATGCCACACATCTGTGAAACATGGTTAAGCTTTTGCAGTGTCTCTTGAAGTCCCAAAGACGCTAAATGTCTGACATGACAGTGTTAGGACAAGATATTTACAAAACTGGTATAAACCATCCTAGAACTACTTGCTAACAATATTGACTAAGTTCGTTGCGCTGCTTCTCCTCAGCGCTGCCCCATATTTCCGAGGCAGTGGTAGGGTTGGAATGTGTAAAAGTGCTCTTTGAGAAAAAAATGAGTTTTATGATTTTTTTACTGCATCTGTACAGTACACAATAGGTACTCTCATAAAGTTAATATTCCTTCGGAATAGAGCAACAACCACGAGCTGTCAAACGAAACAAATTTTGGATGACACTTGTCAGTGTCAGCATTATTTCACTGTGTTGTACAATAAAAAAATCACAAAACCAGTCACCACGTTTCTGAAGCACTATTTCTCATAAACATACACGATTTCACTCACGTAAAATCTGAAAATATATCAGAATTAAAATTTTCAAAGTGCCACTGCGAGCCAATGAACTGTCAAACAGTTGCAAAAAACGGTTCTGTTCGACGTGACGGCGACGGCATCACGCATCTCTTTTTTTCACAGTGTTGCTATAGTCTGGTCTGTGAGACTGAGCACGTAGAATTTTACGTACGTACGTGCTCACAGACTGGGCTTTAGTGACATCTCACTCGTTCAGTTCTTTATTGCTATATTCCGCCAGGTATATTCACTTTATGGGTAGTCTAGAGCTACTTATTTAATGAGTTAGCGCTCGTGGTGCTAATCTATGTTAAATGATCAATGCTTATAATGTCCTTACATCTCTTAGTGCATTACATGATACTGCCCAAAATCATGTCTTCAGTTATGGTGTCTATGATTACTTTGTGATCTCAAATTTAAAATCAAATAAGGTGATAGTTGCAAACTAGTTATCTGGCTACGGGCTCTGGTAAGTATAAATTTAATTTATTTACAGCAGCTGGATAAAGAGACATCTTCAAAAAAAATCAGAGGTATATACGAACACAAAGTTGTTATACCGGTCATAGCGTAAGCGAAAATAAGCTGTTAATTTGTAGATGGTAAAGCCGAGTCGATTATCCAACTGTTTTATCAACTCATACGCAGAATATCATACTCACATATCATACCAAAGTATCTTTAAATTCGCAAAACATCAAAGAATCATTTTGAACAAGATGGTTTGTGATATAAAATTAGGAATTACAAAGATTTTAATTCATCGCTTTTGATGCGATAAGCATGTGCAATGGTAATATATCAAATTCGCAATTTGCATAAGATGTTTGACATCACTTTGATGTTTTGCGACAGTGACGAATGAATACTGGCTGCAATAGCCTTCCTAATAAACAGGGTGTTTAGGATACTCAAGTACAGTAGACAGTTTCACTATGGGAAATATGTCAAAATGCCAAGGTTATTCTTCAGTTAAAAGATATCTGACGATTGAAAAATCAGCCTTTAGTGAATAAATTACTCAACCCTAAACATTGAAATGATACTTTTCTTAAAGCTGAAAAATATGTGATCATTTTGAAAAAAAAGCGCTTAGCCATAACTTACATAATCTCAGAAATAAAAGGTCTTTAGTAAAAATATTTTTTATTTTCTTAGCTTTTTTTAATTTTTACTGGACATCATTTGTTGCTAATTATCCTAGTATTACCCCTGTCAAGGAATAGGTCAAGTATCCCTATCACCCTGTGTGCGCTCAACAGCCCCGCGATTGACAGGTGCCAACTAGCGAGCGTAAACACAGCTGTCATTTTGGGTTTAAATTAATATGATATTCTGCGTATGACTAGCTCAGCCCGCGTCTACAAAACAAATCTCACCCATCTGACCCAGTGCCGTCGTCGCTGACGTTGCTGTGTGTATCGAGCGAGTTGTCAGGAGCGTGCGACCGCCCGCTGGAGAACACGCTAAGGTCCGCGGTGCTCGTCACGCTCGTGTCGGCCAGGGAGCGCCGCGACCCCAGCGCTGACGCAGAATCGTCGCAGCGCGCCCCTGCCGCCACACCGCTGTGCTCTGCAAACGTCAACAAAATAATGCCAAACACCAACACGCACGATCGTGACTCAACCTTCAAATTAAGCTTTAATCAACTTCAACTGACTAGTTATTTATTCCTCTCTCAATTTTCTTACTATAAACACAACAATAAAGTAACAGGCATATCGAAGCAAAATGACAAAAACATATGCATGCAAAATGAAGACTTATAAAGTACTTACCTCAAATCTTATGCAACGCTATGTTCTCAAGCAAAGGAATTAGGACCACACCAAACGCACATGCATTTCTAATGAGTTTTATGAATAAAACGAACATAAAAATCTCTGCTCAGATCCTGATAAACATAAATTGGAATTAACTCTTATAAATAAGTTGACTTATTTACATGACGGTAAAAACTATTGTGGGAAAACCGTTAGTTTCGCTTTGGATGTTTTTTTGTGTTTGCGAGGATTGACGAGGTATCCATGGGGTTCGTAGGTGACGTAGGCGAGGACTGGGCTTGGGACGGGGGTGGGGAGGTGGATGTCCACGGATGCTTGGGAGGGGCGGAGAGCGGCGCCAGAGGAAGTGTTCGCACCTAAAGTAAAAACGAACAGTCAATATTTATCGAAACTGTGCAATCTAACGGGCCGTTGTGGTGTTAAGTATTTAGTTTGTCATATTTTTATGATACTCATCATTTTTATGATATCATATTGTAATTATCAAGACATTACTTGTGTAAGTGATCCTATGTCCTTGTAAATAAAAAGCAAATTATATTTGAATGCAGACTTTAAACAATAGGCTACGATCAGGTAATGTGCGCTTCCTCTACATTCAGCACATTTGGTGACATTAATTCTAAACAACTAAAACGTACCATTTATTACTTTTCTATGTCTGAATTCTATAAATATTTGGTGTCCTCAAACCACCACAGGCGGCAAAACTAAAAATAAAACGAGATATAATTATATCGTTTCAAGATGTTGTAGAACATCAATAAATTGAGTAAAGCATGCTTTAATATTGTTCGTGAGCGATCTAATGAAATACGAATTACTTAGTATTTAATTTATTTAATAACTTGTATATGTTTAGTGTTTTTATTTCAATTAGATTTAAAAGGTACGTTCACTCGCAACTCTTAAAATTAATCAAATTAAAACAATGATACGTAAATACTATGATGTTGTGTTTACATAAACAAAAAAAGGTGATATAGGTGGGTTTATGTGACAAGTTAAACATAAAAAAACATCAGTACCTAAGGTTGAGCAGAGATTCTTTAGGCCAAACAGACATGATATGTAGCAGAGATAATGTGGTTATGTGCACCGTCTGATTTATATTAATAAATAAGTGAGCCCCGGTTTTGATGTGCTTAGTTAGATGTTAATGTTAAAATTGTAGAGACAGCATTATGAACACTGAAAGTCACAGAATGCGATAAGCAGGCATCATGTTTTGAGGAGACCGATATGGTTTTTACAGTAGCTGCAATAGTCTGATAAAGTTGTAGTTAGTCAACCCACTCAGTTTAGACGATTATAATGAAATTGTAGGTAATATAATATTCATCGCCGCTTGAGTTGCGATTCATGCAGTTCAGAAATTCAAACTTGAACAATGGTTTCCCTTGTAAAAAAGTTGCCGATTCTTATTTTTCTTTCTTTGTTTATAAGATTTTTGTCACGTCTGAAATTTTACTACAGAATAAACACTTAAGACTGCAAGAGAATCGACTATAGCTCAGCATGGGTCATGTAATTATGTGTGATGTAATTACTAGCAATTCGGCTTTTAGACTGAGGGCCAATGGAAACAATTTTTTTTTGTCTTATCGATAAATGTACTCGATGATAAGTAGGTAGAAGATCAGAAACAAATGTATCTAAAAGCATTCAAACCTACACAAATATGCTGATATCACTATCAAAACGTATGTTAGAACTTTAACAGACCCAGATAATAAATTATTTAGATAAAAATGTAATCTCCGCTTTTACGGCTCATTTTGCACTTTGAAAGCACACGTTTTAATCCTCCGTTCAAAGGTCCTTTACGTCTATTTTGATACTGTTCTCACTCAATAGACTCAAATTCAAAGTCATTGATGTATCATACACTATGTAAGTTGGCCCAAAACTATGTCGAATTACTAGTAATCGTTTTGTTTTTTTAACATGTTGTTAAGATGATTATCAAATTACATAAACAATAATGGGATTAATGTTATAAAAATTACGTGGAGACGTTTGCGTGGAGTCTTTACTGCATTTTTTTTGTCCTATTATAATATTTCAAGCATAAATAAATAAGGGACTTTTTTGCACGCTATTTTTTTTTGCTGTATGTGTGTTATCCAGTTAATGTCCCGTGAATTTAATCAATATAAATAATATTACAATTATAAACTCCCTTATTAATAATGGGTAATAGTTAGACAAGTTAAGTATACAGTTTTGTGGCGAAGAATATTGTACACAAAGCATACAAGATGAAACATTGAATTAGTCACATAATTTCGTTCTCCTCAAACCATATAACTTGTTAAATATATACCTACGCGCCGCGGTGTTAATCATGACATAAACCCACCGCCATACCACCAACATAACCATGCTAGTGCATTATATACTACATAATAACTTAACACTAAAATAGCGCTTTGATTTAGGTTAAACGTGAAAATCTAATAATTGGCAAGCATTAAATAGTACAGTCAGCAGCGTCAAATAGTGACACCCAAAGTGGCCATAAAGTTGACAACACAACCTTATTCCAATTGTAGCAAAGACGTGTTGCGAACTTTTTGGCTACTTTGGGTGTCACAAACTATTTGACGCTGACTGTACAATACTAGGGCTGGGCTGCACCATCTTACTTTAACTTTGACAAACGTCAAAAATCTGTCAAACTCCATACAAAACTCTCCGGTTATTGTCATAGTTACTGTTAAAGTAAGGTGGTGCAACTCAGCATAGGTCTGGTTACCCGCACGCAATCCTAGTTTATCACAAAGAATCGATCAATCGTCACCTTCCTGTCGAATACTATCAATGATTAACTGATATAAGGTTATAAACAATTCAAGTATCAAGATTTTTTGAAACGGAGAGTTACCATAATTTAAATTTCGTGCATTTTCTGGCGGTTTTTAGTTTACCAACAGTGAGGCACTGCCAGCATAGGAATTTTTTTTTACACCTTGTTTGTTGTTAGGAAAGTTGAAATTATTGGCAAAATAATCATATTTTATAACCAGATTACGAAAGTTTAAAGGTCAATAAATGTACTTTATTTGATTATGAGGTACATGCTTAAATGCATCGATATAGCTATTATGTGTGGTGGAACCAACTAACATTTTTGCTAATGAAGTTTTTACTTGTACCTACAGTTTCATTTATCTCATTTTATACATCAGGAGTTGAAAATCCACCACAGCATGTCTATTCATATTAAATCATAAACTTAAAAGCCTAGTAAGTGTGAAAATTGGTGACCATTCCTATTCTTGTGACTATTTTTTAAAATTAACACTGCTGTAAAGATTAATCAAATTGGTATGTTTGTACTGCTCGAGTAGGCCGGTTTTCATTGTCGTTTTATTGTACAAATTTGTCAATACCTATGCATATGAACGACTTGAAGACTGCCCACATTCTACATTCATTATTTCGCTAGTTAGGCGCTCATACGTTTATGTAAATGAAAATCTTCTAAAGCGTGCAGTGTAAAATATACCGATTGAACACAAGATTTTGTTAGATAAAATAATTCTAATTTTTAGTACGAAAATAAAATAATAATCTCTATTCTTTTCTATCGCACGTCAAAATTTGGATTACGGCAAAAATAAATTTAAATCAAACATCTAGACAAACGCTGTTAAAACTCGCCATTCAATAACTATAGCCTGACCAGGAACATAAAAACCCTCGCCATGTTGCGGAAAACTAATGGTACTAATTTCTTTTAATGGCAACAGTAACTGAAAACTTCATTGATATGTCACCTTGCATGTCAGTCTATTGCTGTCAAAGTGTAAACAAACTTTATTTTAAATGTGCGCAATTGATTTTGTGAATTAAATTGCTAAAATCTTTTTATAGTCGTGAAAGAAAAGTGGTACACAATGTGTTAAAGTATTTGTCGAAGAGAAATACTAAGGGTTCGGACAATATTTTCATTGAATAATGTTTCCGACATAGGTTGTCAAATTGACTGACATGTTTATCGTATAGTACAGTCCACTATGAAAATTAGCTGTGGTTTGTTTCAACTACCTATTTTAAAGATTTTTGTCACTTTCTAAGTGTTGAATTTTATGGAATTGGGAAAGAATTACCGAGTTTGAAGCGTTCATGAGCAGACATTGCAGTGGAAAATTCAAGTTCTGAATTTGATTATTGATGAATAATAAAATAAATCCTACTAGCTCGATTGATGGTTTCATTTAATTTATTTAAACCAGGTTACCTATACAATCTTTATTCGTTAATTTATGAAAATATCAAATTAGGACGTAATCCTGAATCCTGCACAAGCTTCGCTTAGTGCGGTATCCGCTAGATATAAGGACTTTATGTATTTGGTTTTACTGGCAATAAACGTTTTATTTATTATTATTTATTTATTTATTTATTATTTATGATACATAAAGTTAGGCTATTAATTTAACACAGGTACGACTGTACTCAGTGTTGCACTATCATATGCGATTGACGCGCCTCTATGCCAGGGTTTTTATGTTCCTGGTCAGGCTATAAAACGAATATGTGCAAAAAATAACAAAAAAACAAATGCACATACGTAAATCTATGTATAAACGGTTTCATGTAAATCTAGCTTTACAGATTAATTTGTAACATTTTTCATAGCAATTATACGGCACAATAATAAATAATGTCTTAGCGTGACCAAACCAAATATCAACATCAAATATCATAAAATCACTTCTATTGAAAACTTGTCCACTACTACTGTATTACTTATCTTAAAAATGAGGTATTTTGAATATTTGAAAGAGATCAAATACAGTAAATTTCGATTATAGGACTGACAATGTTCTTTCCAGCGCTACCATTGAATTTTATTTTATTTCTTCCAAAATAAGCATTAATTAATCCTCTGCATCTAAGATACATTTATTTTATAATTCTTATAGCAAAGAGAGCCACTTCTGATAAACGCCTATTTTAAATCTAAAAGAAAGAAGGTAGAAAGTCATTAAATGCCTTCATTTATTGCAATAATAGACTTATAAAAAAGGCCTATACAAAAGGCGTATTTCGCACAGCTCGATATTCCTTACGCAAGCTTCACAGTTTCTTTTTAATACTACATTATTTAGAAGATCAATAATTGGTGGCGCTAGTAAGCGCATATCAGCCTCATAAACCAATACTAATCGAAGTAAATAGTCTTACGTAGCGGACTAGTTCACAGTGAGCTTACCTTGAGTTTACATTAAAGTGCTGCCAAACTGCGTTAAAAAATATTATAGATTGTACAGCGCTTTCAAGTTACTTTAAAAAAACTGTCGTAGATTTTTTACACAGTAACTAGCAATTACGTTTAATGTAAACTCATGGTGAAGCTACAGATGAGTGAAGTGATCAGAGCCGAGGCTCTCGTCCGAAGAGGTGCGCGAGATGGAAGGTGACACCTCCAAATTACCTGAGACTGTGTCGCTCTGAGACACCCGTAGCTCTTGCAGTTCTAACGCAGCTTTTTCATGCCTGAAAATATAATACAAGAGTGTAAATATTTTCAGTAACACTGAACATAGTAAAAAATCTATTAATCAATCAGTCAATATACATTTCAATAAAGGAAATGCCAATATGAAACAAATATGTTGAGACAATTCAGGAGGAGTTTTCGGAAAAGTACATGTCCTCGCTCGCACAAGCCAGGAACAAAAGAGAGCAACCCCACGCACGACATAATAAGAGTAATGACATCTAATGTGATTGCCATTATGCAGGGTAGATAAATCTACATTAAAATGTAACCTGTGTCGTCATTTTAAAAGATATTGCTAACTTTTTGTGACTTCAGCAATAGTGCTTTGATGCCAATCTTGTTTTAAAAGCGAAATCTACTATTCTCGTTATAAGGAAAGTCAGTAATTAGTAAAGTGTACTATAAAAGTTGTATATGCTTCTATATTCCTGTCTTAAAAAACCATCCTGTATATTTAATATTTTCATATGTCCTGTACATATTATATGCACCTTAATATCACAGTTGCTCTGGCCTGTTTTTCAGTTTCTGAAAAATTCTCCGCCCGCTGACCGATCTTGGACTTTTTGTTTGGCTCTACAAAGTGCCCCAGTGGCCGCTTTGGCAGCTCATTCGGTGGTGGCGGCCCAGGATAGTCTAATTTGGCTCGTTTTAATTCATCCATAGCCTTTTCCAAATGATAAATTACCACGTCATCCTCATAACCAAAGTCTTTGTGAAGTTTAACCTACAATAAAAATATAATATATTAATATAAAAATGCATGCATAAATGGCATAAAATTAGGACTGAATTTCCGTCTTTTATGGATGAATAATCACATCTTCAATTTGGAAATTTTGCATACTACTTAAACAGATATAAATGGAAAATTTAACAAATTTAAAACTGGTATTCAGTACCTGAATATAATTAACAATAAGATCCATGTCATTTAATTTCATGATTGCTTTCTTATGAAGTTTGAGTATTGTATACGCCATAGCAGTGATCACCCTCTCTCCGTCCAGCAGATAAATATCCCACACCCTCAAACATAGGCTGAATGGTACTCGTTCAACGAACACAACAAAAAACCTTAAAAAACACACATTGTTAAATTTTATGACAATGTTACAATCAAAACACTATCTAGAAAGAAAAAACAAACCATTTCAATGAGTAAAGTATAGCATCCAGGCCAAATTTGTCAAAATGATGTTTTAGTTTAGGCATAAACTTTGTGAGTATCTTATCATGGTGTTCCAAAAATCTTGTTAGCTTTGGAAAACCTTCAATGTACAGTCCATGCATGAGGTACTTTTTGTCAGATAGGAGTATAACAAGTGCCCAGAATGCGTCTTCCTCGTCCATGTACATCAACAAAACTCCAGCCAAGCCAGACATGCCCTGACAGTATCCCACCTCAGAGTTGTAAATGCTATAAGCACACAGCACATTAAACAAAGAACATTGCTTTTCTGAATATCTCTCGCGGTAAAACTGGTGTTCACGGAACTGTCTATTAACATCAGAGTCTATTTGTCTTACATCCGTGGACCATAGTTTAGCTAACTTTAACATCTCCTGGTACTTCCCTGGATTTTCTGACTTTATTCTATTAACGTCTAACAGTTTGCACCAAATTTTAATTCTTAACGAATTTGGAATGCCTTTGTATATGCGCCTATGCAGCTTTTCTTTGGTAGTGGGAGAGTCCCAAAACGCTAGCATTTTAACCCATTTTTTCTCTCTTTCCACTTCAATGTTGACCTTTTGCGGCGCCGTCTTCTGCGGCAACCGCTCATCGTGAATGAAGCCATACCTGCAATAATTCTATATTGTAGCTGATGAAATCAACTAAAAATATGACTTAGGGGCTCTTGACCATCTATGAGTAAAGTTCCTACTTGACACTTACTCTGAGATGGTGAACAAGGTCCTTATCCAACTAAACAATTTAAGTGATTAACAATCACACCAAGGTCAATAATTTGATCAATTTATGTTCAGTAGCAAAACTTAGAAGGCACAGCAAACAAATATTTTACAAATATAACACTCGCATGTGTCATTAGGGAATCACAGTATAATTTATCAAATATAAAAAAATAATACAAATAGAAAACGATAATATAAGAGCAAACTATAAAATAAAATAACAATCGCAAAGCAAACTATTTGCCAAAATAAAAAATTAAGATATTACCTTAAAAGTTTCTCAAAAATATTCTTCAACATTTCTATGTACACAAGCTCTTACTTTTTTTGTTATTTATTAGCAAATAATCAGAAGATTATGACAAAATTTGTTCGAACCTCTTACTCACTGATTAAATTTTTTATAAATGTGAGCCTTATTAAGTGGGTAGAACACAAACCTGTTCTAAACGGCAAAAAATTAATTTTGGAGTTGGCAACCATTTACTAAGAATGGTACAGATGAAATCAATTTCTGTGTATACCCACATACTAATTAAGAATATAATAGAATGACACCTTGTTCTATCGCTTGGCATATAAAGGTTAGCATAATCCAGTGGCTATTATAAAGTGTTAGAAGTACACATCTGAGGTTTCAAACATAAATATTTTATCAATCTCCAGCTGTGACTTTTATCTAATTCTGACCAAGATTTATAAACTAAACAAATTAGTTCACTGAACTACCACACAGGTAACCGGCCATAAAATGCTCATATCTTAACTTAATATAATATTTCATAATGTGTAACATAGTTTCTTGAATTTCATTATAATATGACCTCATCTTACCTGTCAGTTTTGTGGTACTCTTCAAATTCGGGGTCCTCCCAAGGGTCTATTTGTCCTGCGAGATTCTCTCTTCCTCTCTCATACCTTTGGAAGATACGCTCCCGCTCCTCGGAAGCCCGCGCCAAGAGAGCCTCCTCATTCATAACACGGCCTGAGTGTGCCACATACCGAAAGACTTGAGTTAACTATTGTGGAACACAAACTCCGAAGTAAGCTTGCGTTCCTCGTTTTGTATTACGTTGTGAACACCACGAAATCATAAATTTACAGTCCTTTGTATCCATCGCTCACGAAAATCAAAGACATCACGCCCTAAACTTAAAAATTCTCGGACGCTAGTCAGTAAATTTGACATTCCCATGTCATGTCATAAAAATTGGACAAGGGCACTATCGATACATTTCGTTAGTGAGATTTCCACGTCCTAGCCCACTTTTCACACTCACAGAAAACAAAAATATCAATTCTCGTGCTAAAAATTTAAAAAAAACTCAAATCCAAAGGAAATTCGCTAGAATAATGAACACAACACACATTCATGAATTACGAAACGGAAGTTCGAAGACGTTCACATTTTATTAAAACCGGTTTGATTGACAAAGCTATTTTACAATGGTGAAACAAAACGCCAGCTCCGGTCGGTTTCTGTCACACTATATAATGGCGCAAGTACACCATGCGGAAAATTTACCGAGACGAAGCGCGAGCCCGCACACCACACCGAAGTATGGGCGGAAGTGGGAGTGGGATATCCTTAGTCTGAGGATGGGATGCACAGTGTGTTATGAGACTGTATAATCAGACATTCTCATTTATTTGATGAACCGTATAGAGCTCAGTTATACAAACGTGATAGTAAAACTCCCGTTTGAAAATTCCACGTAGTTTTCGCGGTATAAAAATTCAAAGTTACCTATTTTTTTACTTCTACTACGTGGAAAAGTTAAGGCTAATTTTATTTAGGTAGTTAAGTAGGTAAATAAATTTTAACTTAATTTACGCCTTTACGCTGGAAAAAAGTAGCTTACGTTTCAGCTTCGTTTGATTAGCTGTACCTACCTCTTGTAAAGTAAGCGGAGCGCAATGCGCATTTGAGTAAAAGCTGACAGAAAGCTACTTTCTCTCAAACGCAAGTCGAACGCTTGCTGTGTTTTAGTAATTTTAATAAAAAAATGGTGTTTGGACTTTTAATGGTAAGTGCTCAAGTCCCTTGTTTCGTCTGGAATGAAATTGGATCGTGACTGTAGTGTGGACTAGAGATGAAACGCAAATGAATTGGAGACACTATAAATTAGCGCAATCGGTATTAAATAACAAAAAGCCTAGTTAGGTACCATGTTGCTTCTAGTGAGCACACTTAATCCACATGACAAGCATAAAATAAAATTATTGTTGAAAAAAACAAAAAACCCAATTGCGTAAAAATGAACTTAAAGATAAAAACAAGACCACTTAGTGTTCACAAATACAGTCGGAGGCTACAAATACTTGAAATATATCACCAACTAGCTGACCCGGCGAACTTCGTACCGCCTTAGCGTAGAGATTTTCTTAATATTTTTTTCCGTAAGAACCATCCTTGGACTTCCACAAACATTTAAAAAAAAGAATTATCGAAATCGGTTCAGCCGTTCACACGTGATGCCGTGACAACGCGAAACGGGTTTCATTTTTATATATATAGATAAAAGAATTGGTCATTGATGCCTCCGACTAGGGCTGCTAGGTGCAAAAACACAAAAGCCGGACTCTGTGCTTCATTTGGCCCTAAAAGCCGGACATATCACGAGGGGTGATGAGTGTCTTTGGCTCGACTTCCAACTGCACTGACGCGACAGCCACATAAAAAGCCGGACAAGACAATATTATTGGATGGACCGGACAAGACAGAAACATGTCCGGCTCAACCCTACCTCCGACTGCATTTGTGAAAACTACATTAGTTGTCTTGTTTTTATTTTATTTGTTCATTTTTTCACAGTTTTGTTTTATTGTTTTATCAATATTTTTTATAATTAGTAAGATAACAGTTACTAGTTATTAAATATGTATAGTAAATAATATAAAACATTAGTATTAATTAAAAAAATAATATCAAATAAACACTATCGATAATGAATATCGGTATTTTTCAACTACTAGAGCACACGCAATGAAGTGTGTGGTGGCCTCTCTGATAAAGGAATAGAGTGGCCTGCTGCCTGCTCAACAATAAACAGACAGGGCAACACAAAATTGTTTCTGTCTTTGAGTGGATGTCTGTGTGGCCACACAGATAATTTGCGAATCTAAACCTGTTGGCGTTGTTATTGCTGGGTTCAAAGTCCTTGCTGTAAAATTATCTAAATAAAATTTTCAATTTGCGAATAAAAAATTAGAAAATGAATCCAATCGTTCAAGTAAGTGTTTAATTATTTTATAAATTGCTAAAATTTTATTTCTCTCACTTGAGTAGGTATATGAAAGATTTTCGAATAGTTGTCTTACCTCACGGATATGTAAAACACCAAATTAATCACATACAATTTAATTTAGTGCTACATTATATGTTAATTCGCACTTAGCCGTCAAAGTCCAAAGTTCATGCAATTGCGATTGTCATTTTAATTTTTCATTTTGAAAATAGAATTTTATGTTAATGTTACGGTTAATGTGATAAATTGAAAATTATTAATAATAACCGGTTATTATGAATAATTACCGACAGTCGCGGTAAAAGTGATAAATGAATCACATTTAACAGTGATTATTTAATAATTCAAGCTTAGTACTAACAAATTTCATAAAAGAGAACAACATCTTGTGTACGTGCTCCTGTACAGCCAAACTTTTGAACGTTTTGATATCATATATTAATATAATTTGGCATAATAAGTTTGGAGTGTTTCTTGCATAATATTACTTTTCCATGATGCCTATAACATAATGTTTTGATTTAAAGTGAAAAATAGGTTAAGGTGCGGCGGGGGTGGCCCTTGGGCCACCCCTAAGCCGCCTATTTAGTTTTATACACACATAAATGACCTCATATTAATCACATTTACCAAATCATGCGGTAATTATTCATAATAACCGGCGATTATTCATAATTTTCACATTTATCATTTTGACCGTAACATAAACACTTCCTTGCAAAGCTATTGAAAATTGTCTAAATGGAAACTCAATGAACTACCATTTCTTTAAAAATAATATTTAAATTCGCCTGTTATTTTGTGGGTAGGTTCCTTCTACCTTCATTGGATGATTCAATATTCCACTAGTAGAATATTCACAACTCAATTATGACTAGCATTAATAGATTCTAAAAATTTTGCATACAGCTGACTTTGCTGATGTACTACCTACTCAATTAAGCTGTTAATTTAAGAAACAAATTAAACTATGTTGTCTTTTGTTTATATTCCTGCATTCCTGTGTACATTCTTTATGTTTATTTTAGTTTTTCATGTTCTTTTTTTCCGGAGCATATTGGTGATGTAAACTTAATCAATTATCTTCATTTTAAGATCGCACGTGCCACCAGACCTATATTCAGGTCTATATCTACAACAACACCAGTTGCTTCTGCGAAACCAATACCTACAACAGGACTTTGCTTTGGTATGTAATATTAAATCATTCTATTTTATACATTTTCTTTATTGTACTGAATATTTCTTATTTACCTACTTATTAAATTTTTTTTCAAAACGAATAAAATGTTTTCTTAAATAGAGCTTAGCGATGAGCAAAAGGCTCTTCAAGACCTGGCCAGAAAGTTCACAAAAGAAGAAATTATGCCAGTGGCTGCTCAATATGACAAGTCAGGAGAATACCCCTGGCCGATCGTCAAGAAGGCGTGGGAAGTCGGCCTTATGAATGGACACATTCCTGAACATTGCGGTAATGTAATCATAATTATCTTTAACTCTAAGTTGTAAGTAGGCACAAGGAGTGGCTTTGATAAGAAATCCCAATTAGATTATCAAACTTTCTTTACAGTTTGCGTTAAATGTTATTTATCTATCAAAGGGAAGATGCATTAACTACATAATTTTAAAGACTAATTTTCCTTTTATAACTTTTTAATTTTGTGTGGTACATATTATGATGTATATGTATATGGATGGACCATTAGTGTCTGTTTTGATATTTTTGTTAATAACTATGATGCACATCTAAATTGACTGGCAAGTGTTTGGCCAGTCGTCTAAATTATCTATGTAAAATCAAATACCGCTTGTCATAGTACATCTTCTTCTATAGTTGTCAATCATAATTATACCTAACATTAAACTTTATCGCAACTAGAATGAAGTAAACAACTTAGGCCGCTCCCGATAACGATCGTTACAAAGGTCGCGAAAGATAATAGGCAGGTAAACGATGATGTACTACAAATCCAAAGGTCAGTCATGAATAGGTAATAATGATTTCGCAGGGGGTTTGAATCTAGGCGTTTCTGAAGCTTGCCTTGTCTGCGAAGAAATTGCGTACGGTTGTTCCGGCATGATGGCAGCGATTTACATAACAGAAGTGGCTGTGAGCACTGCAGATAGGCATCTAGAATCTATTATGGCTGCCATACCTACTAGTTGAAGATAAAATACCCATGCTATAACTGATATCAGTTAAGGTTTCATGGTAGACAGTTTTGCTTTAATTATGCAGCGTGAAAGCTTCAATAGTTGTACATATTTAAAATTACAGTTTATTCGCTTCTTGGTTTTGATAATGAATATTGTGAAACAAACTATTATGTTTATACATATTATAACCACTCATCATCTCTTAAGGACTCCTCTGCTCATGAAACCTGTAGGTAATGGTGACCATAAAATAAATTCTAGGTCCATAAAATTAAATAAAAGGTATAAACGATTCACAAAATGACCGTTTTCGAAATTAAAAAATCCAAAAAAATTGCGTATTGGAATAACAATTAGATTTCGTAAAAAATACTTAAACCTTATAAAAGATTTAACGTAGTACCTTAGGTTAGGTGTCTTGTTCGTAAATTTTATGTAATGGACAAAGCTTTTTGAAAAAAAGCAAGCAACAATTGTGTACCTAAACAATAGTTAATAATTAGTTCTTATGAGTAACAAAAATGTAATTTAATATACAGTGTGAGTCACGTTAAAGTGTACATAATTATGAAAATAGATGAAACTAGACCTATTTTTATCGACAAAAAAGAGATATGCGATTTTTGGTTTTACGAAGGTAATACGATAGAGAATAATACAAAGTAATAAAAACCACCTGTTATAGGGGCATTTTTTGGAGAAATTTATCAAATAACCAAAAAAAACACGAATTTAAAAGCAGTTTTTTTTTCAAAAAGTATCATTTTTTATTATTTGTTGACCTTTTTTGTGTATTTTATGTATTTTTTTAGTATCGCCTGTTATTTAGCATTATCACTGTTTTTATTTTATCAGGATATACCGCTTAGTTAAAAGCCATTACGTTTTCTTTACAATAAGTAGTTGGAAGAAAAAAAATTAAATAAAAAATTTAAAAAAAATCTCAAAAATTTTTTGACCTCTTTTTTGTCGATAAAAATAGGTATAGTTTCCTATATTTTCATATATAGGTACACTTTAACGTGACTCACACTGTATTGTAAGCATTTAAAACTTGCAGTTAAATTCAGACGGTCATTTTGGGAACCAATCAATCGGGTAATGGTCGCTTGCCTACTGACATTTTTGGATTTTTTCAGTAATTATTCCCCTACAAGGTGCACAGGTGGTTTTTTGTGGTCTATTATTACTATTATACCTTCCCTTGAATTAGGTACTGGCTTTGCTAAGCGAATGCCTTACTCTTGGTGGAGGAGAAGCGGTTCTATGCTAGATAGACTAGATAATAATAAATTCTAGTTTTATTGTATGCATAGGTACAGATAGGTACATGATTATTACTTACAAGCTTTCCGCCCGCGGCTTCGCCCGCGTGGAATTTTGTCTGCCACAGAAAAACTTTATCGCGCGCGTCCCTGTTTCAAAAACCGGGATAAAAACTATCCTATGTCTGTATGTATGGACTCAAACTATCTCTATGCCAAATTTCATAAAAATCGGTTCAGTGGTTTAAGCGTGAAAGAGAGACAGACAGATAGAGTTACTTTCGCATTTATAATATTAGTATAGATTTCCAATAGTAGAAGAAACATGTTCAACGAACTCTAGCAGGCTTGAAAACAGAAATTTATAGATTTAGGATGTGTAAGTACACAAACATTTCGGTCGCGCCACAGATCTTGGCTCTGATATTTCTGTCACCTCAAACGGATTACGGATGGGTATTGGTCGGAATTGATATTATCAAAGTAGCAACGTTATCGATTAAATATTGATAGGTTTATCTGTATCTTTACATACACTACTACATACTATTTAATGTCTAAAACATTAATTTGATTTAGAAATCACCTGATGTAGCAGAAAATTCAGTATTTTCTCAACAAGACTGACATATTTTAGTTTTAATTTTAACATCAGGTTCATAACCTCTGTGAGACGCCATCTTTATAAATGAATTCTAAAATACCTCCATTGAAAAATGAAAAAACTTCCATGTATTTGGGTAATATTACTCATTGAAACATTTAATTTTCTTGAGGGTTTAGGCGTATGTTGTGTGTTGGCGCATGCGCTGCACCTAATCGCCTACATTTTATGATTGTTTCTAAGTCCAAAGCTATTTCAGGTGGTATAGGCAATTTCGGCGTCTTCGATGAGTGCCTCATAGCAGAAGAAATGGCATTCGGTTGTTCCGGTATCACTACGGCAGTCGGGGGAACCGGTCTTGGAGTGAGTTCATGTAGTGATACAGTTATAAAGGGGGTCCTTTGATTAGGTACCGTATAAACTCAATGTGGTACGGATATGATACGGGCATAATAAAAATATCAATTGGACGCTGTTATTTAACTAAGAAATCATATTTTCTCATGTCCATTTCATCATAACGTACTAAAAAAGTACCTACAAAAAATATCAATGTATGTGCCGTAATTGGTTTATGTCTTTTGGCCTGTTATGTATGTCTGTTCTCTGAACTTTCCACTGCCAGACAGGTACAGGTCCATCTTGGCATTTTACGTGTATGTTTTAGAAGCCTTGTATTGCTAAACATACATTATTATTATTTATACGTTTATCTACTTACTGTTTAAAAAATGGATTTTTGTATAGTTTATTTATTAATAATCTAAAATGTCTGGCAGGTGGCGGGTACTTCGTTTTGTCATTTCTTTATATTACATAAAATTTTAAGTACTGTATAAATATCACGACTAAATACAGTTATTATCAAATTTTGATTACCAAAAAGTATTAAATTTACTTATATTCTTATTATGTGTAGACTATTTATTAAAATGCATAATATGTTTTTTTACTTTTCGTTAAATCTTCAGCGTAGGTTAAAAAACCGCGAAAAACGCAGCACGCGTGACTAGGGGTTTATTCCACTTTGTTAACCTTGGTGAACATAGTGGATTTTTTAGTGTCCTAATTTCACCTCGGAAACATTTCACCTGGTGTGCCTTTGTTCACCTAGGAATTAATCGCCCAGGTGAACAGATGCGAATAAACCGCGAAAAACAAAGCACGCCGCTTAAGCCGATTTCTGCTGTCGCTAGCCTATTAACGCTGATTAAACTCTGTAAATTCTTAGCCTTATTCAAAACAATCGTATTCAATGTATATTACCTATTATTAGCCGCTGCCTTAGGAATTGGGCTATAATTATTTTCCCGAAACCTATCAACAGTTTACTCGTGCCACCTCCATCCTGAATACAAAAAGTTGAATTACAACCACTTCAAATTATTTAAATATTCTCATATAATTTACATGCAAATCAATAAGATTCATCAATTACCATGATAATGGATATTATGTATTATTTTCAGCGAATGTTAATCGGCAAACGAGTAGGTAACACTCACTGGGTTGTATTTCATTATTCTTATTCACATTGTTGTACGGGTGTTTGATTTATTTAAAATGTGCATATTTTTGGGGATACTGTGTATTTAATTATGTGCGTTCATTCATTCTTGTAAATTTTGAAATGTATAAACAAATACCAGTCACGACTTATTTTTATGAATTGGTTTCATTATAAAATACATATGATTCTATACAACAGAACTGTTACATACGACTGGAATAAAATACATGTATTATATGGCGTTATAGCTAGTACATATCTAGACACGCAGTAGCATGTCAAGCCATTATTTTATCGCTTTTGGGTGCTAATTCACCATAGGTAACTAACCTTTCAGCAAAAATTATGTCATGCATGGCGACCTGCAACTAATGGTTTCCCTAAACAAATACGACCATCTGTCCATCGGGCTGGCAGAAGGAGGAATACTGAAAATTTTAAATCTATTTCTTTTTTTAAACTTACTAGACTAGTGTTCTTTTTAGGAATTGTAGTTGCAATTGATAGTTAAGATAATACTTATGGCTACTGTTTGTGAAGTGCCCCTAAATTCTCACCTCGGGGATATTTGACTACACTTGGTTCTGTAAAGTTCGGCCTATAATGGTCAAGAGAGGTAAATTGTCTCTCTAGAGTAGAGAAATAAGGTATACTTTTGGTCTTCGTCATGACTTTTCAGTTTTCAATATCAGCTCAATTTATAGGACGCTTCCATCCAAGTTTTTGGGTGGTAGGCATTTGTGCATTTTTAGCGTGTGTCAAAACTTTAATAAAAATATCGACAATTGTGGATACCTCCAAATACGCCCTGACTATAGACCATCGCCATTAGAGATGAAACGGATAGTTGTTTGGCCGGATACCGGATACCGGATATCCGGCCAGCTACTAGGCCGGATAGCCGGATATCCGGCGGCCGGATAGTTGGCCCACTGTCTCGTGTCGAGACGAGTTTAGCGCCGCACAGGTGCTTCGAACGCGATCGGTGGGTCTATTAGTAGACTAGACTAGTCACACTTTTCGAAAATCGAATCAGTCCGAATAGAATGTCAAATTTTGCCACTTGTCAGGGGGCAGATCAATTCGGGAGATTTTGGTTGCCATCGTGAGTGTGTGATTGAATGGCAAAAATTAAATTAGTTTATATGTAATCTGCATCATAACATCAGATGATCAGACAATAAAAATTGGCCAAGTGTGAGTCGTGCCACGCGCAGTGTAGGGTTCCGTAGTTGTCCGTCGTTAACATAATATATTTCAGAAGCAAGCAATTACTTCATCCTAAGTCACTTTTAATATTTTCTTCTAAGGAATTTTTACTAGTTAAGAAATTTTATAATACCCGAGTTAAATAACTATGTGAAATAAACGATATTATTATTATTATGTTTGTACGCTTTGGAGCTCACGGGTCAAAAGTGGCCCGGTCCTTTATAAGGCTTGCGTGGGGATACAGATCCAACACGTAGAGGCCGTTTTAAGCGCAAAATAATCGACAAAAGTGAAAGTGGTGCACATGCTGGATCTAGTCTCTGACTATATCATGGGATGTAGCCAGAGACCATCCCCAGCCTGTGCACAGGAGCTATTGCAGTTATTGGAGAATGGACTAGGGTTATGGATGAAGGATGGATGGACTGGTTACTGGGCTATGGATGGAGACTACGGGTCACCTGCCTGGTTCATAGTCTCGGACTGAAAAAATGGCAGGCGGTGACTAGCCAGCGACTAAATGGGCCCCCCCTGGCGTCATGGGTCGTATAGACCGGACTGAGGGGCAACATTGGCGTCTACCAGCTCAGGGGTGTAGAGAGGTGTGCTGCGCTTTCTCCGGAGTTACTCGCGGCGTTATGCCCTTTAACACTTCCACCCCTGGAGCATATAGCTCTAGCGACTCCACTCTGGCCGGCCGGTTAAGGCAAGCCAGAGGTGAAAGTCCTGCAGACCCTCTCGGTTTCCACATCGGCAAGCCGAAGACGAGGGTCTTGACCGACTCTCGGGAGCACTCGGATTAACAACTGGCCCCGTGGTGTCGCTACTCACCAACAGCTCGCCACAAAGCTGCCCTGCGGGGCTTATTATTATTATTATTATCTTAACCGTTATAGTTTTTCTTGAAAGTTCATAATAAGCAGTATTATTACAAATTTTTACAGATTTTTCAAGCCAACACTTTAGTTTTAAGAGGGAGGGGGGGGGGACGCTCTACGCGCTCGAACAAAAATTGGCACTTTAAACTTTAATAATTTGCAAATACATAGATCCCTAAATGGAAAAATAGTTTTAGCAACCCCTAAGCCATTTTAAAAGACCTCCAACGATACCCCACACGATGGGGTAGAAAATGAAAAATTCATCCCCACTTTACAAGTAGGGGAGCTACCCGAGCTACCCTAAAAAAATTTTTTTTCAAAATTTTATTTTACCGTTTTGTCGTAATGAATATACATGCCTAAATTTTTTTTTTGTTGTACAATAACTAAATGTCTATGTATAACTTTACTGCATATCTGAATTGTACAATTGTTTGTTATCCTAAATAAAATAAAATACCTCTACAAAATTACAGCTCCCTAGTGCCAATAGTTTCTAAGCAAAACCTCGGACAGACAGACAGACAGACATATCGAAACTATAAATAAAATAAGCAATTTTTTTAATCTATTTTATTTGGCATCATTTCGACTTAACAGATAAATTTTCTTTTTATTTATTTACTTATTCATGAATAGAACGATAGTACCAATAACGCTATTCAATTAAGACGCATAGTAACAAAGTTCATTTGTTATGTATTCGTCATTAGAGTGAATAGCTCGAGAAAAAGAAATTAGTTTTTTTAAAGGCCTTAACCTCGTAAGACCGAAGAGTAAATTGTGTCGACTTCTAAGTATCGCCGAATGTGCTTTCAGAAGAACGAATAATTTGAAGTAGTAAACGCCGAGCACTTCGAGTAAAAAAATTTCTATGTTAGAGAATTTCTTTTGCATTCATATTTTCAGGGGCCCTATATAATAGTGCATAGAGCTTATTTTAGGTGAAAAATAATAAAAAAATGTTTTCTCTTAAAAGAACATTCGGTATTACAGACTTTAAAAAGGAAAAGTAAATAAATTGTATTTTATACTTTAAAGTAAAACATAAATGTAACCTTCTTAATAAATTAATACTACATAAAGATACAATAACGATATTAATAAATGTAACTGAAAAGGAACAACGGTTTTAATTTTATTTAATGTTTCATAATTAGTACTTTTAAAAGTACTATCGGTTTTATAACATACACTAATGATAGGTTAAAATGTACAAGAAGTAAAGTGAATATTCATGTTAATTATAATATTTACTAAACTAAAAATCAGAACGTTCTCATGGTAAATATTCTCAATCATATCATAATTTTAAAAGTCCAATACTCAATCCCATCTCAATAGAAAAAATATACAAAAATAAAACTTTCACCATCAAGACCGAATGTTCCTTGCAAAGAACTTTTATTTTCAAACGAAAAAAAATCTTACAAAACTACTTCAAATTGGGAAAAATAATTTTTTTGCTTGTTTAGCAGTATTTTAACTTAAATTATACTGGTCAGTTTTGCAATTAAACTACGTTTACGTGAAGAAAAAAAATTAATCGCACATCATGTCTTCTCGGACGAACCACCTTGTCAAAGAAAAATGATAATTTGACAGTGACATTTTGTTTTTTTTATATTAATAAGTTCGGATACCTGATTTTGAATCCTTTAAGCCATAGACTATCACTCTTTTCTTTCGATAGGCGCGAATTTTTGAACTTAAATTTATAGCTAAAGTTTTAGTTCCTCTGATGGCACATCCGGCGATACTTCGAAATCACCTCCGAAAATGTCTCGGCGTTACTGACTACAAAGTTTCAGTTCCTTCTGAGGCACATCCGGGCTTACGAGGTTAATATGGCTTTTTGTAACTTTTTGGACTTTAAATAAAAGCCGTCATTATTATAACCCATTTTATTGATGTTTACCTCAAAGATTAATGTATTTAATTTTATTAATAGGCAATTGTCGTAGTTTTTTTAATATCCGGTATCCGGCCGGATAGTGAGTTACTATCCGGTATCCGGCCGGATAGTAAATTTAGGCCGGATATCCGGCCTACCGGATAGTTACCGGATATCCGTTTCATCTCTAATCGCCATACAATGTCACGATATCCGAACGGTGAATGGGTCGGACTGGTCGACTCGTGATCCGAGGAACGCGGGTGTGAACCCAGCTGCCGCTCGACTATTGTGGTGAATCCACTCGTAAGACAAGCATATTTAACTTACCACGAGAGGTTAACGGGATTATTATAAGTAATTTGTATGTATTTACAAATTGCTAATATTCATTTAAAAAATGCATAGTCAGTCGAAATATTGACTGGTGGTTATTTTTTGTAGGCGGTATGGAGTTGGGCGTGTTTGACGGGTGTATGGTCGCTGAGGAGATTGCTTTCGGATGTACGGGCATCATGACAGCCCTGGAGGCTAGCGGACTCGGTGTGAGTGTTATGCATTGAAAGCAAGGGTTTCTGACACGAAAGTTTCGCTATCAATTTAGTTTTCTCTTAGTAGTAGTAGTATCTTGTTGATTTTGTACTAAGCCACCTTTTAAAATCGCTTGCTTTTTTAAGCCACTTTAAAATAGCTTGCTTGTTTATTAATCCAGTAGTTGAAGTTAATACCAATGCGATTGTAGTAGTACTGGCATGTTTGTTTGTGTGCCTGATTCTTTGATATGGAGCTTAGCGCGGGCCGAAAAGCATCTAGGGTTATGATTTCACGTTTCTCAGTTGATTTAGCGCATAACCGTTCAGGTTGGTTAAACTAACTTCTGGCTTTGTAGGGCTCTTTGCATGAACAATAAAATTGCATGAGATTCTGCTTCCCTACCCTAGCCTTTGAGCTACACTATATTTATTTATTTATTAAAGACGCAATACAGATTACAATTGAGATTTCACAAATAAAATTGTGTAGCACGTAAACTTAAGGGTTAAATTGTAACCTAACAACATGCATCCTATTCCTTACAAATGAATATGACAACAAAACTTCAAATACTGACATACATTTTACAGAAATTAAAAGTTTTAGTTTTACCTACTACCTACTAAAATCAATGTAGAGACGTTAATTAAATTTCATATGATTAATGTAAAATGTAAATAAAACATTTCATATACACATTTTTTTATTTCCCACTTAAGGGTGCCATAGTCAACAAGGAACCCTTACCTCCATCTTCCTATGCAACATAAGATTGACTTTCGATATTTTAATCATTCGATATTTTGATCGTTCGACGAAACGTGTTCGATATTTTGATTTTCGATAATTTGTTATTCGATATGCCGGAGGTAAACCCCAAAACCAAAACATAGGCGTCTAAACTGTCTGTTTTTCACAATATCAATTTTAATTTTTAATGATATAATCTATGACTGTCATTGATTTTCAAATTATGACTTCTATTTATCTTAACTTACTAAACTTATTTCAAGTAGCTACAATAGTTAAAAATCATCTTGTTCTGACCTCAAAAAGTTAAGTAATGATCGTTTTGTCTCTCGACTTGTTTACTATTGAACTCAAAAACAATAAAAATACGTGCCAAGTCATCACTGTAGCGTTTGGTAGGTATTCATAAACAATTAAAACACAGTTTTATACGCTTCTTACATAATATTATGAAATACTATTCGTATGTTTAAGTATCTATTTATTTCATTGAATAATTTAGGTAATTTCTTTGTGTATTTATTTCAATTTATTAATGTTTATAATGTTAAGTTTTACAAAGTTAGGTAGGTTATAATATTAAACTATACTTACTTATATTAAACTTACACACCTTATTGATCATCACGAAGTACTCTACACTGCTTTAACTAGTCTACACTCTACAGAAGGTATTCAGTGTGACGATACTGCTTGTATTCTACAGCTTTATGCCTATAAGCATGTTTGTCTCTCATCTATGTTTTTGTAACAATGACTTGTTTTAAAATTTACTTTTGTTACATTATACAACAGGATGTATGTATAGATCAAAGGGTAAACCTTTTTGCAGTTTATGTATGTAGATTGAACAACACGTAGTTTTTATTAGACATCCTGCATATTGGATTGTATATCAAAGTAAATTTTAAATATATCGTCAGCACATCAAACTTTTTTTTTGCAAAATAACACCTATTGCAAATACATAGCGCTCGTTCCCAATGAGTCACACCGTAAATGATGATACTGAATAAACATTTTTTCTTTCTTTCTTTCTAACGAGTAACACTGTTAACTCGTTGAAAAAATAATCCCATCCAGTAACATCGTCATTCACACTGTAGCGTTTATTTTCTTACTTAAGGTGTAGGTTACTTAAGTATGTAGGTATTTTGATTTTAAATGTAATTTGTACATTATTTCTTTATAACGGAATCTTTATAAGTGTGAACCAGTAACAGTGTGACTGCATAGATTTTTTGAGTAACAGTGTTACTCGTTTCAGAGTGACTCGTTGGGAACAAGCGATTTTAGCTTGATGTGTTGCCTGTTCTTCTCGTTGTATTGGAAGATTAAAATGTTTCTGTGTTCTAGCAAACTCCCGTCATCATCGCCGGCAACAAGGAGCAGCAGAAGAAATACCTCGGCAGACTGATTGACGAGCCACTACTAGCTGTATGTACTAAAAAAACAATTTAATGACTTTTTTTTTAAACAAACTCAGACCGACTAACCACTTCCACCTTACTCTGCTGCACTAGGTATCTCAGAAGCTATGCGAAGACTAAAAAGACGGCACATTCTGGAGATAGAGAGCCAGAATTCACTAAATTGATTGCAAACTGCGCAAGAATTCCATTAAGCGTTTCAAAGTTCATATAAAGTGCTTATCTCGAAGTAATGGATCAGACACCGAATTTAACTTAAGCTCCAAGGCTAAAATAAAAGTTACTATATCAATTTTACAGGCCTATGGCGTCACAGAACCCGGTGCGGGCTCTGACGTCGCGGGAATTAAGACCAAGGCGGAGAAGAAGGGCGACGAATGGATCCTGAACGGCCAGAAGATGTGGATCACCAACGGAGGCGTCGCCAACTGGTAAATAAATCTGTCAATCTCATTTTATAATAGACTAGCTTTCCGCCCGCCGCTTCGCTCGCGTGGTATTCTGTCTGTCACAGAAAAAAATATCGCGCGCGTCTCTGTTTCAAAACTGGGATAAAAACTATCCTATGTTCTTTACCGGGACTCAAACTATCTCTATGCTGAATTTCATCAAATCGGTTTAAAGTGCTTCACGAGCTCTCTCAAATGGTACCAATAACAGGTTACAGAATAAACGGGATCTATCCGAAAATTCTTCCATACATTTGGTAATTTACATATTCGTAAAACTTGGTATTATGAGTAGACCAAAAATAGACGTCTTTATGGACTTCGTTTCCAGTTATTAATTTATAATAATAAAAATTGTAATGTATAAAATAATCTAACCACTTTGTATTTAGCTCCGTTGTTTACCTATTTTCGATGTAAGTTTATCAAAAAGTGTTCTAATTCGAAAAATAAAAGATTCACACATCATGATTCATGACTCAGTCGACTTATCAAACACTGTTTTGTTGAAATTAAAAAACTGGTTACTGAACCTGAAAGTGCTTTACGAGCTCTGTGTGTGTCGAATGTTGCCATCCTTCTCACACAAAGGGAGATGCCAGCATGAGCGAAGGAGACAGCAGACCCGGAACTACGTAAACAGAGTTTCGGAGTAGGCCCCCTGTTGCGTAGTTTTAAAGATATAAGCATACATAGGGAAAGCCAGCGAAAAGCGACTTTGTTATATACCATGTAATGATGATTTGTCTCCAGGTACTTCGTGTTGGCTCGCACCAACCCCGATCCCAAGTGCCCAGCCAGCAAGGCGTTCACCGGTTTCATCGTAGAGCGCGACTGGCCTGGAGTCACCCCCGGCCGCAAGGTAAGCCAATTCATATAGAAAAAACTTATTATGCTACGCTATTATTTCAGATCAGGGTTGCATGATTTAAATCACCATTTTTATTGCATGATTTTTTAAATAAAAATCACTGATTTAAATAAATGACCGATACAATCAACTGTAATGTTCCAAAACAATGTTTATCATTATTAATTTTAATATTTGGTGTTAAAGTATGAAATGATGAGATGTTGCCAGCTGTATGTATACATCATACATCAATTTTACGCAAATAAAAATGTTTTCCGCAAGAAAAACTAAAGAAACGCAAAACCTATAAAAAATCTATAGTTATAAATAAATAAAATCGTGATTTAAAAATAACAGATGGAATTCTTTTGTTTAATAAAAAAGTCATCATTTTTTCAACCCTGTTTCAGATGTACTTAATATTGACTAAAATCGATTAATGATTTTATCGAGACCTAGGATTACGGAATCCCTGCATAACACTTTTTCCATGTCTCTATCTATTCGTCTATCTAATCTATCTATTCGTCTATCTTAGCGAGAGGCTAGCTACATACAAAGATATCATGAATACGAACTTTGGGAGTAGGTATTACATTTTTCTTTCGACGTTGATTTAATTTGATTCCTCTTCTGGACGCAGTTCTATAACTGGTTATACTGGTACTAAAAAGATGACTCTGTTCCACCACTTCTCACATACACATTGAGAACAATGTTGTCCCGAAGTGGTGGTAGGACAAGCTATATGTATTTGGAATGTGCACAAATTTACTGGTAGCATGTCTAGTTTCATCGATATTTCTTTACAGGAACAAAATATGGGCCAGCGCGCATCCGACACTCGCGGCATCACTTTTGAAGATGTTCGCATCCCAAAGGAAAATGTACTCATTGGAGAGGGCGCAGGTTTCAAAATCGCTATGGGAGCCTTCGACAAAACCAGGCCACCGGTAAGTTAGCTATTACAATGCTTTATTACTTTTCTAATATTGCTGGATGTCGCAAAAGACGACAAATAAACTAATATTATATGAACCATCCTCAACCTTTCTGGCCAGCGTGAAGAGTGTAGAATAAAATATCCTTCATTTGCCTCTGGTATAATAGGTGACCTCATGAAAAGTCGCATCGATTGGTCCAATGGACGAGAAACATTTGTATAAAACCCAAAAATAATCAATTTTAATTTATGCGGTGTTCGAACTTAGTGACCCTGGTTATTTGTTGTTAGCAGATTGTATTGTCTACTACAATTGACGCAATATTATAATGCAGAAGCAGTACAGGAAATGTTTTTACTTTTTGTTGTGTAGGTGGCAAGTACCATATGTAGGGTATAAGGTACTTACACGTGGCATTTACAGAGCAAGTGTTCCATCCTAGACTGTATCTTACTCAACATCAAGTGAGAATACGGTCAAATACATGCCTTATACTGCTAAACATGAATACCATTTCGATGTAGTAAAATAAGTAAAGTTTATTGATGTTTTCATTATACCTAGTTGTTGCAAATCACGAAGGCGAGTGAGCTTAAGGCCTCAGCCTCGAACTTAGCGGGCAGCGGGGCGGCGGCGGCGGCGGCGCGGGAGCGGCAGGATCTTATGCGTAAAATCAAATAGACCGGTTCTCGAAAACAGCGGCGCGGCAGCGGGGCGGCAGCGGGCAACGAGCGGGCGGCGGCGAGGGAGCGGGCAACGAGCGGGCAGAGCGCATTCCTTCTTTTGCCCACAATAAATCGAGCGTTAGGAATAAATTTGAATCGAAATAAAATTGTCGCCGTTGTTCAGACATTTCGTTTGCGAATAAAAACAAATATCTCGACAAAACAACCCCGAACACAACACTTCGCCGCTAAAGCGCCGCGCGAGCTGCCCGCTTGTTTCGAGAACGGGTCTGCGTTGCCCGCCCCGCTCCAGCGCCGCCGCCGCTCCCGCCCCGCTGCCCGCTAAGTTCGAGGCTGAGGCCTTAGGCTCGGCGCAAATGGACCACCGACCACAGCCACCGATGCACAGTGATCAATAANAAGATAATATAATCCTAACAGGAGAAAGGTCTTTCGAGCAGACGGGGGCCCCCTCAGTCGCGGGGCCCTGGGCACGTGCCCAAAGTGCCCAGTGGGAAAGAGATGCCTGAGTAAAATTGCTAATAATTATGACATAACTAATGGATTACCTAATATTAAGTGTTATATCTTAAATACAAAATAATTTATTTTATTTTTGGTTAATTAAGTAGGTACATAAGTGCTTTGAAATTTATCTAATGAAGTCACGGGTAAAAAGCACTAGTTTTTACTACCTATGTTTAAAACACAACACTTAGTTGAAGTAGTGTCCCTTAAAATATGTAGAGTCAAAGCGAAAGATCTAAATTTAGATGTCCGATTTAATAAAATTAGTACTAATAACACTTTTCTTACGAGTAGTTATAGCCTGACCAGGAACATAAAAACCCTCGCCATGTTGCGGAAAACTAATGGTACTAATTTCTTTTAATGGCAACAGTTACTGAAAACTTCATTAACATGTCACCTTGCATGTCAGTGTATTGCTGTCAAAGTGTAAACAAACTTTATTTTAAATGTGTGCAATTGATTTTGTGAATTAAATTGCTAAAATATTTTTATAGTCGTGAAAGAAAAGTGGTTCACAATGTGTTAATGTATTTGTCGAAGAGAAATACCAAGGGTTCGGACAATATTTTCATTGAATAATGTTTCCGACAAAGGTTGTCAAATTGACTGACATGTTTATCGTATAGTACAGTCTACTATGAAAATTAGCTGTAGTTTGTTTCAACTACCTATTTTAAAGTTTTTTGTCACTTTCTCAGTTTTGAATTTTATGGAATTGGGAAAGAAGTACCGAGTTTGAAGCGTTCATGAGCAGACATTGCAGTTGAATATTCAAGTTCTGAATTTGATTATTGATGAATAATAAAATAAATCCTACTAGCTCGATTGATGGTTTCATTTAATTTATTTAAACCAGGTTACCTTTATTAATATTTTTTCGTTAATTTATGAAAATATCAAATTAGCCCGTAATCCTGAATCCTGATACATAAATTTAGCCTATTAATTTAACACAGGTACGACTGTACTNTAGCTTTTTCTATTGTTTTTGGCTTGAAATAGCATTACTTTAATTTCTAATTACGATATTTATTGGAAATGTCAAACATCGACACTTTTTAGCAATACCTTAATTTTAGTGTTAAGTCGACATTTCAAAAAAGTCTTAAATTGAGAAATATGACTCCTTTTCCGATGCCAGCGCTAGTGGGAGGTCAAAGGACCCTTACAGTAATACTTTTTCACTTCTCCAAGCAATATACACACATTATCGACATATAAATAAAAATGTAATACCCGAAACGTTTCGGGTGTTACAGTTTTTAATCAAGAAAGAAACATACTAAATTAGTATCATGCTCAGATATTAGTTAGTATTTGAAATCATTACTACCATGACCTTACTTTTACCAAATATTGTTACCCTAATCCATGTGTAAGGTACAATAATAAAACAAATACCTGTTTTTCTGTTTCGGGTGTTACATCGCCGAAGTAACAAGAAAACACACTTAAAACTTGATGATTATCCATTTTTTTGGGACTATGACGCTATCTACCAATACTATGATAAATACCCTCGAATCATATAGCGGCAAAACGTTTCACAGATTGATAGTTTTTTTTAAATCGTATTACCAATAATTAAAGAGAAAATGATCATTCAGACAGTTGACTTAAGTATAGACTTTGAAGACTAATAACTTAAAAATTACTTGTTTCTTTCAGATTTTTTTTGTTGCACATTATAATTTGGAATGTTTACTTTCAAAATTCATCAGATTTTATGCGAAAAGAACATATTTAGTTTTTCACCCTCGGTAACATTTGTCATGGAATGACCCTGTTATAGAAAATGAAGTATATACCTTCATTAATGTGCACCATATTTCATAATACGCAATAATGCATTGTATAAGTCAAACCAAACAGATAACTGTGCGCGAAAACAGGAAGTAAATAGAACAAATCAGTACAAATTAGCGAGAGCACTGCATTTACTAGCTGATATCTCAGTAATGACTTACCTTTAACCGTTCATATTCAACAAAAATATGAGGTAAGTACCCGCAATCACATCGCGATGATTTGTTTTAACTACCCTCACAATGTCAAATTTGAATATTATCCACCTAATATCTCATTATTGATCACCGTGCGGTGGCTGTCGCGCGCTACTGCCACATTTCTAAGAGTGTCAGAAGCGAGCGAGAGCCACAGCTGTCTGGAAGTATAACCCGCTCGCGCTCGTTGCTAAATATTAGGAATAGGTATTTGGATTAGGTATTTTAAAATATTTGGATTAGGTAAATAAAAATAGGAGCTATATTAAACCTATTTTACGTACTTCAAGTGTGTTTTACGCACTTTAAGTTCCTTTGAAGCATCTTAGAGTATGCGCACACCGTTGATTTTTAGTTGGCCGATAGTTGTGCCCGATTTTAAGAGTAGGCGCACACCGTTGATTTTTAGTTGGTCGATAGTTGTGCCCGATTTTAAATTGTATGAAGAATCGGCCAAATCGAATCGGCGTAGTGTGCGCACTCCCATTCATGCCCGTACTGATCAACTGCCCGATTAAACTATCGGCCGACGAAAAATCAACGGTGTGGGCTTACTCTAAATTGTAGAAGAATCGGCCAAATCGAATCGGCATAGTGTGCGCACTCCCATATATGCCCATACTGATCAACTGCCCGACTAAACTATCGGTCGACGAAAAATCAACGGTGTGCGCCTACTCTTATGCTGATTTACACGCATTAAGTATTTAACTGAATTTTAACTTAATTCTTCTGGTAATTTGCTGGGTGATTCTTGTCACTTGACACGTTTTGACAAGCAGTTTCATAGAAAACAAAAGCTTGACTACATCAATACGTTTTGACATAGACTTAGTTAAAAAGTTACCTACTTAACACGTGTAAATCAGCCTTAATACGTCACGCAGCGAGTTGCGAGTCAAAACAAAAGTACGACGAGATAGGTGAAATAAAATTACATTAGTTACGACCCTATCTGACCTAGTTGGAGCATATGCAGGTCCAATGTGCATTTCGACGTTGAAGCATATGCGCAAGTAATATTTACGTATTTTTTTGTACCTTCAGTAAACCAAAAAAATTAATGCAGTTAGGAGGTATGTCACTTCAACGTCGATTTGTCTATGTGCCTACTTAACACACATGGTATATTTTATAAAGGTTTTGTAAACAATCAATAGTGTGAAGTGCATTCAAGTTTACTGTTAATAAGACTGATTTTGTTTTGTCCTTGCCTTGCCTTGCTGTCAGCAGTCGAGTGTTAAGGATAAAGTACTCGTAAAATGGATGAAATAATGTAAGTTTCTAAGCTACAACCTACCGTAGGTATACGGTTGACTGGATGGTTCTGTCATTGTATACATACATAAAGTAGAAATAAATAGTAAATTTAAAATGACCTATGACCTAAATGACCCGCTCAGCTTCACACAAAGTTGGAACAAATGTATCGTTTTTATTTCTAGTCTTACATATTTCAATACATACTTTTTTACAGATAGGCTTTAAATAAATTATTTATAAATACTTATGATATTCATTTAAGTAACCACATTCCCTATTATTCTGTATTCCAGGTAGCAGCAGGAGCCACCGGCTTAGCCAACCGCGCTCTCTACGAGGCCACGAAGTACTCGCTTGAGCGCAAGACATTCGGCGTGCCCATCGCGTACCACCAGGGCGTGGCCTTCATGCTGGCAGACATGGCCACCGGCGTCGAGACCGCGCGCCTCGCCTGGCAGAAGGCTGCCTGGATGGTGGACCACGGTGAGAACCCTCAGTAGCCACAGCAGGAGACCCTCGCTCCACCAGGGCGTGCCTTCATGCTGGCAGACATGGCCACCGGCGTCGAGACCGCGCGCCTCGCCTGGCAGAAGGCTGCCTGGATGGTGGACCACGGTGAGAACCCTCAGTAGCCACAGCAGGAGACCCTCGCTCCACCAGGGCGTGCCTTCATGCTGGCAGACATGGCCACCGGCGTCGAGACCGCGCGCCTCGCCTGGCAGAAGGCTGCCTGGATGGTGGACCACGGTGAGAACCCTCAGTAGCCACAGCAGGAGACCCTCGCTCCACCAGGGCGTGCCTTCATGCTGGCAGACATGGCCACCGGCGTCGAGACCGCGCGCCTCGCCTGGCAGAAGGCTGCCTGGATGGTGGACCACGGTGAGAACCCTCAGTAGCCACAGCAGGAGACCCTCGCTCCACCAGGGCGTGCCTTCATGCTGGCAGACATGGCCACCGGCGTCGAGACCGCGCGCCTCGCCTGGCAGAAGGCTGCCTGGATGGTGGACCACGGTGAGAACCCTCAGTAGCCACAGCAGGAGACCCTCGCTCCACCAGGGCGTGCCTTCATGCTGGCAGACATGGCCACCGGCGTCGAGACCGCGCGCCTCGCCTGGCAGAAGGCTGCCTGGATGGTGGACCACGGTGAGAACCCTCAGTAGCCACAGCAGGAGACCCTCGCTCCACCAGGGCGTGCCTTCATGCTGGCAGACATGGCCACCGGCGTCGAGACCGCGCGCCTCGCCTGGCAGAAGGCTGCCTGGATGGTGGACCACGGTGAGAACCCTCAGTAGCCACAGCAGGACCCTCGGTCCCACCATGCACCACCAGGCCGTGGCCCTTAGTGAAGACCGCGTGAATCGGCCTGGCCAGTATACTATGGCCTGGCAGAATGCGGACCACGGAGAGTGCACGTGATGAATGATCAGTGGCTATAAATAAAGAGTCAAGCACCACCTAAGAGCGGCCTTCATGCTGGCCGCTACCTGCAGAGGGCGCTAGTATAACTAGCACTAGCAAACAGAAAAAAAAGCAGTCACTATTTTACTTCTTGTTTTATTTTGTAATAAATTATCTGTTGTATTAAAATATGTACCGTCTTAACCATTTTAAACTCAAGTTCTTCTTTGCAATTTTATTCACATTTTGGCAGACAGTTGTAATTGTAAAAAAAACTCTTTGCGCTAGTGCTGCACTCTGGCGACAGAACATTGCAGTATTACGTTCTATTGGCGCCACTATAGAGTTATGTCGCTAGTGACTAAGATAGTGGCGCCAACTAGTAAGTAACGTTACTCAATAAGTTACTGTTTCTCTTCACGATAGAATTGGTACAGTATCGGTACACCGATAAAGACTAGGTATTTTTAAACGTTATTTCCATACTAAACATCACGTTAAACGAGTCCAGTGTGGATTTTTTTCCCAACGAGTCACATTGTTACATGTTACAGTGTGACTGGATGGGAACTGGCTATTTTTATTAGTGACTACAATAGAAATGACCAATACTTTACCATTTTTTCCTTTTCTCCAGGGCAAAAGAATACTACCATCGCATCGGTCGCCAAGCTTCACGCGTCAGAGGTGGCTAACAAGGCCGCCACCGACGCCGTCCAGATATTCGGCGGCAACGGATTCAACACCGAATACCCCGTCGAGAAGCTTATGAGGGACGCCAAGATCTACCAAATCTACGAAGGCACCTCCCAAATCCAAAGAGTCATCATCTCCAGAGAGGCTATCCAAGCCGCCAAGGCATCTATGTAATACACCTCGGACCCACACATTTTTATAGTCTTTTATTGAAAACTTTTGTTATGCGTTGATCATGTTGTATTAAAGAGAATTATTGTTGCGTAAATAGTTACGAAACCTTAAATCTGTATGTTAAAATCTATACAATAAACTATTTTATGTAAATTATCGTATTTTTAAGCTTCAATCCATACCTACAATAGGAAACTATCAGAGCTTTCCGACTGTAAAAATATTGTTCTAAACGATCTTATTTCAGTAGCTAGCTTCTGTAGGAAGGAATGAGTCTTTTCTTAGGTATTTTCCTTTAAATAACACCACTGTAACTGCAAACTGCTTTTGCTATATACAATAATGATAGGATATGACTAACTAGAGCGAACTACCATAAATTAAATAATGGGTCTCGTACGAGTAAATAGCGTAAACTGTACACCGATCAATCAATACTTGTACGAACTGAGCACTACGAGTACATATTTTAGGAGTCTGGCAACATAAATAACCAAATATACCTACTACAATAAACATTTTAAAAAATCTTGTTTTTTATGAAGGAATGGAACACACTCAACCACAAACATTAAACTCGATTATTTACATTGTAATGTTAACTCCATGAATTATTGAAAAAGAACAAATTGATCGATTATATGCAAGCTGGAATGTATCATAATGACCACGAATGAAATCTACTTTGCCAGTATCCATTTTCGAATAGCTCTGCTACTTGCTATAGGGTTGTATGTAAAGCATGACGAAGTTGCCATTTCTGTTGCTTTGTCGGCCGTTTGGTGTAGTGGTTCGAAACGGACTACTATTCCGGAGGTAGCGGGTTCGATTCCCGCACAGTACAAACATTTGTGTGCATGAATGAACATATTTGTTTGTATTGGACTGGGTGTTTTCTATGTATAATAAGTCTGTATTTACAAAAAAAAAAGACAACCGATATAACATTTAAGTATGTTTATATCCGTTGTCTAGTACCCATAATACAAGTTTTGCTTAGTTTGGGACTAGAGGCGCAGTGTAAAATGTCCAAGGATATTTTTATTAATTACCTCGCAGAGGAAACCAACCTACTACTACCCTTCTTTCTTTAAACTCCATTTCCTCTTAGTCTCCACTCCAAGTAATATCCACGCGTGGACTAAGAACATCAAGTGGATAAATTAAATTCACTGATAGGACCATGAGATCGATATAAATATGACATGGCCAGTCAGGAATTCGGGATATTACGCTGATTTATAAATTATTGAACACTACACACTTCTTTGTCAATAAAAACAAAAACGTTCAACATTGGGCCTTCTACAGAATCAGGCGCTTACTATTACTACACTACATTATCTAGTAACATTAAGTATTAAATAGTATTTTTATCTGCTGTACATGTTGTTATAGAATTTGAATTGAAGACAAAACTTCCACGTAACGTCAGGTCTCGCAACAGTCTATTATTTTTTTGTCCTTTATTTATTAATTGGTACATAAGTTATTTTTGTTTATCCTAGCTTTTTACGCGTTTGTGCAGAATGCAGAAAAATGGAAGATACCGATACTAGGTAGGTACTGATATCAGTACCTACTTATATACTCAAAAAATAGTCTGTCCTGACTGATTGACTGATATTATTATCAACGCACAGAAAAAAATACTGAACTTAGCTGTAACATTTAAATACTTCACCTTACATTATGATGTACAGTTTTAAAACTACCCAACAATATCCAGCGGAACTAACCATCTCATGGACTTGGTGGAGATTCCACCAAAAAAGGAATTCCGGCAATGGAAAACCGACTTTTCTGTAAAGTTATAACAGTTAACTTTTAAAATATCGAAGCTCTCGAGTAGGCAGGTACCTAGACAAAGTAACATTAATAGAGTTCGATCCGTTTCGATGAAGTCGAATGTGACATTGTTTCTACTCGTAGTCAGAGATAAATGCAACGCGAATGCAATAAAAATCCGCTCCTATCCTTAAAAGATATAAAATGCACCTGAATCGAAATGCATCTTTTTATGACGATGATAGTATTGTGCACAACTGGATGTAATTGTGAATAGGAGTAGTGCTTCGCCAGTACTGAAGTTGTAACGTGAAATGTGAAATTGGTCCTGCTTTTAAGAAAATTTGAAAAGGCTTTCATTTGAAGTAGAGCGGTTTCAGTAGTCATGGAGGGTAGGTGTGAAGATGAAAAGGAAGAGAGCTGGTGGGATTGGTGGGCGATGACTCCGACTCCGACTCCTGATGGGGAGCCCCAAGGTAAGTAATAAATCTCAAAATTAAATTATTTTTGGCCTAAATAAGGTAATTTAGGCCAAAAAAAAAATTTCGACTGGCAGAGATTATATAATATTTAGGCCAAAATATTATATAATCTCTGCCAGTCGAACTAAACTTATTGTGTTTTTTTTTCTGATTATCCGTTTTATGTGCTTTATAATAAAAACTATCTACTTACTACTTATCTGTGTATCTAATGCAAATCCCAAAGAAAAACACAAGTCGGTACTGGGCTTATGTCTTTGATTAAGAGAACAATCGTTAGGTAGACGAAAGGTTGTGGGTTCGATTCCCTCTTTTACGCGAATAGTAGTTTATTATAATTACCCATAGCTCCTACATTCTACAGTGGGTAGGTACTCCATAGCCCCCCAGGCGGAATGGCGAAGGATTGCTGCTGCATGCATTTGCGCAAGCACCTGTTTGCTTCAAGGCATCAGGAAGGAAAAAACATGATATTTTTCATCTCAAGAACGTATAAACTGCACTTAAGTGCAGTTCCAGACCAGAATCTGGCCTGTGATTGGTCCAAGCACCTAAAGTCACCATTCACAGGCTGTTCTCGTAAGCTTGAAGTTGAGATAGAGTAAAAGCTCAATTTTAAGAGCACGAAATGATTTTATCAAACATGAAATGCTTGAAGCCTTTGACTGGTTGAATTTCACTACTTCCAATCAGAACAGAATCTGTACTTGAGTCTGGATCGGGTTTTCATCATGGTTTCTAATGCGAAATTCGAATTGGACATCGATTAACAAACAATTTTAGAGTTCAATGCATGGCATGTTATTCAGTCTTGTTTAGTTTTAGCCTAGAAGGATTTTTAAGAGGCACAAAAACTGAAACCCATATGGATTTATTTTCACTGAGCTAAGATTGTGGAAACTTCCACTACATAGGTACTTAGGTAAGATAAGAAAATTAATAACAAGTTCGAATTTGGGGAGTACCTAGTTAGTAGGCCTGTTCCGCTCGTGATAGTTAAAAGCAATTATTCGCGAATGATAATTTATGAAAACCGAAATACGAATACCTGCCTAGCTACGAGAAAATTCACGGTAAGAAACTAGTCATTTTATTTTAAGTCAACAAATTTATTATTAATTAAGATTGTTTATTGGAGTTAATCTCGAAACTTCTGACCCGGCGCTGTACCTACTACTACTGATAGGAAGCTGCTCATTACCTATTACTTACCTACTCGAATTGTAATTCTACTGCGTAGTCTGATAGAAAATGTAGATAATATTACGTTAGTACCGAGGGATCTCAAATCACGGAGTCCGGTAGATATTGACTATTAAAATCTGTGAAGTGTTGCCGACGCGTGAAACCTCCGCGGTGGAGGTTCTCCTCTTAGGTTTAATTTTCTTTAAAAACTATGGTTTGACGTCCTGTCAGTTAAACAAGTATTTCGTGGATTCGCTGGTTGGCTTACAATTAATTTATTACCTAGGCAACTAGAGCAACAGATGTAAAAAGACTGAAATACTCAAAGGGGCGAGGAGTAGAGTCAGGGCCGTCTTTAACCTACTAGGGGCCCTGGGCACTTAAGGATCAATGGTGGCCCCTTATCATCTGGAGATATCAGAACTTGTGTTTCTTTAATGAAAAGACCGATAGTTAGCGAGATAAGCATTTATTATTCGGGTTCTTACACAGACACATCTTGTTCGTACATAGCCGGAAGAGGGAAGAAGGTTCTACCGGAAACAGTTAACTTTTTAATATTTAATACACTTCCAAAGATAATATAATCCTAACACTCCCTCTCAATTACAAGTTAGGCTTTAACTTTTAATTGCAAAACAAAATAATTTTTATCTACTAATAAAAACTTCTAATAACAATATTCCACTTATGTTTTAGTATGGCAACATTANAAAGGACATTGGGAACTTTAATATGAGAAAATGCCCCAGGGCGGACAAAAATGAAACGTATTTTATTTCAAAGCTTTATACTTGTAGGTATATTCACTTAAAGCGCTATGTTGTGAGATATGGGAATTCTGAGATATGACGAGTCTAAGTTGAAAATATATTTGTCTAAAATGATTTGATATTTTTACATGTTATGTTGTTTGGCATTGCAGAGTAACCAATAAAAGTAAATAAAATAATATAAATAAATAAAAAATATAAATAAAATAATATAAATAAATAAAATATTATAAATACTTAAATTAATATTAGACAACATCTCATATATTACTCCAACCCAAAATAAGTAGCTAAGGCATTTGTGTTATGGAAATCGGGAACGACGAACCACAACACACCCAAACCAGAGACAATGTGAAAAGATCGTTTTCTATATTGTCCCGGCCGGGAATCGAACCCGGGACCTCAGGATTGGCCCGGCACACCTTGAAAACCGGTGTGTGTGCCTCTCCGCCGCGGAGGTCGTCAAAAATGTTACCTAAATGTAAAATAAAATAAAATATTAAAACTTCATTTTCTCAATATTCCCATTTAAGAGAGAAAAAAAAATGCACGGAAATTCATTGGATATTAGTATGTATCATCTGTGATAGGTTTCGTTTGTGTCCGCTACTTTTCGAAAAGTGGGGCAAAAAGTTCCCAATGTCATTTAGCCTATTAATTTAACACAGGTACGACTGTACTCAGTGTTGCACTATCAAATGCAATTGAAGCGCCTCTATGCCAGGGTTTTTATGTTCCTGGTCAGGCTATACTTAAAAAGTTAACCCTGTAAACATGGCGGTTATCATATTATACAGACGCTCTTTCTACTTTACGATTAAAATTGCGAACGTCTTCAGACTTACATCTTACATAATTTAAAAGTTTGTAATTATTAAGTAAGTATTTACCTACATGCTTTTAGTGTGATCACTTTAAATATCATTTCGCGTTCCATCAGATAAAAACACGCTCATACATTCATAAATAACTCATCAATATTTATCATCAAACTTTTAAACAAGTTATTCAGTGCATGCTTTTTGAAAACACGCGCCTTTTTTGCTGGAAATGCTTTGTCTTGTAGAGCTGAAAGTGATTCCATTCGGCGCGCTAGATGGAGCTACCTTAATTGAATATCGTTCATGGGCAACTTTTTGTTTTATGTAATTAATAAAATATTCAGTTAAACAAGTACTTTTTGCATACAAGTGTTTGTAACGAATTAATAATATGTCTTAACACGAAATTCGTACAGAAAATGATGCTAATTCACTGTATAAACGTCAAAAGTATTGGAATACGGGCGCCCTCTGTGTTAGTTCACATAAACTAGCTGGTATTCAAAATGTTAATATGGCGATGTTAAACCGGATGTTTTTAATGGTTAATTTTAGTTACTTTTAATTGAACTCATACGATATGGACACTAAATCGTCAAATAATATACACATTTAAAATATATATCTAATTTATATGCACAAATATTTTTTATTTATCTTGAAATAACAAGTCATAATACATTCAACAGACATACTCATAAAGATTGACCTACATTCAGAGCCCTTGTGAAAGGATTGTGCAATAGAAACGGTCATTTATTACACAACAGAGCGTATTCATAAGTCAACCCAGTCATTTTATTTCATTTTAAATATTTTTGGAGTTAATATACACTTTTGAGAATAAAGACGTAAAAGTAATCATATCTGTTTTTCTTTGATTCCGATCATTATATTTAGATTCATAATTAGATAAATGAACGTTTACTTTATTTATAAATATTTTTTTAAGTATTTTTTGTTAAATAGGTCAACATAGTTATAATATCGAATTAGGTTAATTTCTTACTGCCCTTTACCGACTTATTTCAATGTCAGTCATGAGTACGGTAGCTCCATTGAACCCGAATTATGTCGGTCGGAATATCAAAGTGTAAGTGAAGTGGCCTAGAGACCTACATTTGGTTTTTAAATCGTATTATCGCTATTTATGGGCGATTTTTGAAATATAATAGTTACCTGAATATTACCGTATACGTTTTAGACATTTTGTAGATACGTTAATTGAGTTGCCTCGTTATAGTGCCGTGTATTATGCACGAAGACGCTCCAAAAATGAGTGTAACGCAGAGTTTGGCCGCCTCCACGAGCCAGGCCAAGAGCGACATCGTAACCAGCGTGCCTCTGGATTTCGACATGAGCTCAGCGGACTCCAAACCACCCGAGACAATTGAAATCGACTTAAAAATCGCGTACGTCGATCCGTCTAATGGTAAGTACTTGCGCTACATTTGCTTTACGATAAGATGTTCTGTACGACAAGTAGGTAATAAGCTGGGATGTTCCAAGGCGGATGTAATTTTTTCATTGATCTGTAGATAATCGATCTAAAATATAGCTTCTGTGACCCAATAAACATCTTACAGCAGTTACATACTTGCGATAAAGTATGTAATTTATAATTATGTCCTATTTTATATGTGTATTAAATTCATATTGGAATCTTCTAAGAATATTATTGGGACCCAAGGCCTGTCTGAAATTGGTCAAGAATATAATTTGCTCATATAGAAGAAGACAAGTGTTGTATAATAATAAAAGAAATAAAAATATATAATACATAAGGACATTATGTTGTGCATTGTGGAGGCTACCTGTTCGTACGCGCTGCACGGTGTGGCAACGCCGCGTTGGTTTTTTTCGCGCTATCCTGCGTTTAGAATCGGCTGAGTGAAACAGTATTTTAGAGTTACTGCTGAATAGTTGTGGCTCACGGAACATGTTTCGAGAATAGTTGGAATATATAATTAGCTTCAATCTTGCGGTGAATGAGTGATCAACTATTCAACGTTACATAGTGATGTCGTTTTGTATTCAGTGGGTGGCTCGTCGACGTCGCATTTTGATTTCGTTCGGTGTCAGTAGGACACGTTTGCCTGTCTCGCTGCTACGGGCTGCTAATATTACACCATATGGTCACCTCGGGAATGTGTAACATGGTGCATCTTGCCTATGTTATGTCATGAATACATTTGGTAGACGAAGACAGGGACCTCTTGCAGATTTTTTCTGTCGTAATGGCGCGTTGTTACAAGTGCCACAGACAAGTGCTCTGGGTATTCTGGGAAATTAGGACGAACGATGATTCTGTTTGGAATCCGACAAGTGGGTGGTAAATCGCAGCTGTAGTAATGTTTATCAGATTGAAACTAGTCTTTAAATGTAAATTGTTGTTTGTTATTGCTGTTTATCTGCTGTTAGACCTTGTCACAGATTAGCGCGCTATATCTTTTGTATCAGGCTTTTTTACATTTACATTGATACCTACTTATTCAAAAACTCCTATTTGAATAACGGGGACTTTGATTGATATTGTTAAAAAAGGTAGGAAAAAGAAGAATCGTATCATTTCAAATGAAAATCAAACCTACTACTTATTTCACTATTTCAAATTCACTTTCTCACTTTCGTCTCAATTAATTCTAGTTTCCAGTCAGTGAGAAGACAGCTTAAGTAATACTTACTTTATACCAATTTTCATCTTCTGTTTTCGACTAAAGAAATGGACCAAAACGTTTTAAACATAGATCATAATTGTGGAAGATCATCGAAATATTTTAAATTCCTGGAGCAAACTAAATCTCATCTGTAAAGAAATCGAATACCTACAAAACCTGAGCACTTTCGCCTTTCAAGGATAACATAAAATATACCCAAGAGTCTTTCTTCCCCAAAGACCGCTTCGGTTCATTTCGCTTTTGAACAACACATTTTCAGTCTTGTACGGCTCTCTTTGAGTCCGAGTCTAAATCTGGATTCATATGACTCACTTCATTTCGTTCATTTTAGTGTTCCCTTTCGAACGTAAACTTCTTCGTTCGTTCATTCTTTGACTTTACGACTTCCAAAGAAGTTTAGTGTTTAAATTTTCTCTACCTCAATTTTGCTCTATTCAGAAAATAATTTATAAATTGCAACGTAATATACACCATGGTTCGATCAACACTTAAAAGTTAAGAAACTTTGTAGTTGCGAAGTTTGCCGGTTTCCTAATGAACTTACCTTAACAGGAACTGACCGTATTTATTTTAGATTAGTGCAAGAATTCGTTAAAGAAACTAATAATATGGTTAATTAATGGGTTATTTAATTAATACTTAAGAACAACAACATAAAGGACCACATAACATGGTTGCAGTTGCACTTTTCAAATTCTCTAAGACTTACCTTCCAAAAGTCGAAGTAGGTGGGTATAATTAATATTATTCCAATTGGATTATACTTGTAAAAAGCAAGCCTTTATCTCGAATCTTCGTAACTTTTGAAATTGCTTTTAAAATTATATTAATCCGAAGTCTCTACGTAGTTGGTGGATCTGGGTTAGACAGCATGGAAGGAGGATTTTTCACTTCGTCGAAGCCTGTTTCTCCCAGACATTGCGTCGTAGTCGTTCGTATAACGCAATAGGAACCGCGTGACGTGAGTAGAACGTAATTTTCTTTACTCGTAAATCAGATAAATAGATCTTTAATACTTTTCGAAAGGGCTAAAAATCTGTTTTATGCAAAATTAGAAAAGTCTATGCAATCATGTAGAGCGAGATATGTTTTTTTATTTTTATTTACTTACCAGTGGAGTGTAACCATGACAGGTTTTCCATCAAACTATACTTCTTTTTAAAAGGTGAAGAAATTATGTATTACTAGCTTTCCGCCCGCGGCTTCGCCCGCGTGGAATTTTGTCTGTCACAGAAAAACTTTATCGCGCGCGTCCCTGTTTCAAAAACCGGGATAAAAACTATCCTATGTTCTTTCCCGGGACTCAAACTATCTCTATGCCAAATTTCATCAAAATCGGTTGCGAGGTTTAAGCGGGAAAGCGTAACAGACAGACAGACAGACAGACAGACAGAGTTACTTTCGCATTTATAATATTAGTTGGGATAGTTGGGATTCATACCCAACTTCTGGCCGAGGGGAAGTCATGCCCAGCTTATGACTTGGGGAGAGGAGGGGGGCGGGGGAGTCATACCCAGCTTCTAGGCTAAGATTTCCAGGAGGGAGCAGCTGTCCTTTCCTGCAGCAGCATCCTCATTGAACACTTCTTTTAGTGTGCTACAACCATATCAATAACTTCGATTGAAGGCTACTAAGGGCAACCATTAATTAGTTTTCCATGTGAAGAGAATTGGGGCAAGAAGCTCCTACTTAATTATTCTTAGAGCTGTCTCTATGCTAGGTCCTACCATTTGTTTTGGAACTTTTGTATAGATAAATAATGAAAAAGTAAGTGAATAACCCTTCTAGATAACCAAAATGTCTATTGGGGGCATTAAGTGCACCTACCAGTTTCTTTTTATTTAATTGTAATCACGAAAGTAGAGCAAGGTTGGAGTGTTCGACTAACATTAAAATAGAACAAATAACTTGAGGCACGCAGACTTCAATGTATGTACAATACTTAATCGAGTTTATTGCTTTATTTATCGTTACATGTCAGAGTAATCCCACCAAAAACATTCTGTAAAAAATTAGCCAAGTCTCGATGGAGCTGCCTGTTTATCTCTAAAAAGTAATGAAATCTAGACAAAGTCGTGCCAAGTCTATGGTTCCTTACTGCGATTTCTTTATTATTATATTTAATGTTGTGTGACTTGGCCGTTGAAGGGTACCAAACCAGATGCTCCATGACACCATTGCACCAATCTGTCGCCAAATCCGCTACCCATTGACGATGGAAAATAAATTGCACTTGGAAAACGTTGATGCAATAACCAGTCAATTGTAGGCTTAATAAAGCTGCGTATTTCAATAATACTTAAATGTATGATTATCTTAATAAAGATTGTTCCACGGCCAAGTCACACAACATTAAATATAATAATAAAGAAATCGCAGTAAGGAACCATAGACTTGGCACGACTTTGTCTAGATTTCATTACTTTTTAGAGATAAACAGGCAGCTCCATCGAGACTTGGCTAATTTTTTACAGAATGTTTTTGGTGGGATTTCACTTCTTTTTGTAGAAAGTGGCATAATTTTTTTCTACGATATTAAACACAAATAAACTCAACGACCTTTAAAATGGACAACGAATCAGAAATTGTTTTAATAACAAGTGCCACGCCATCTAGCGATGAGCGGTACAGGCGAACACCACGGTTGCCGGTGTGGCGCTAGTAGTATTGATTGTGAATGTGGTGTTACTCCAGATCTTCGATTTTCCTAGTTTTTATAGTTTTCCCTTTATGTAGTCATTAAACCCTAACTCTGTACCAAATTTCAACTCTCTGAGTTAATGGGAAGTACTAGTTCTATTTTGATGATCATCAGTGAGTGAGTGAGTGAGTGTCGTAAATGCGAAACTTTGCTTTCGCTTAACTTCGGAACTAAATGACCTACAGACTTGAAATTTTGGATTTTAAGTATGTGATTATAGCTTACTAGATGACAAAAATTTCTGCGTTCTGGTCTTATCCAGAGGTTCTCAAATAGAGGCCTGAAAATGCGGCGAAATGGTTCCAGTAAAGATGGTACGGCAGTGTTTGCTTCGCGCTCGACTTGGCGGGGGCACTGCCGTGCCCCCAGATTAATTAGACGATTATTAAGTGTAGCCCTGTATAACGCACAGTGTTTTATGAAGACCATTTTTCGGACATGGCCTTTTTATTGAATAAGCAGCTAGTTAAGGCAATTTAAATGATAGCTACGAAATCCCCATTTAGCTAGCATGTCTAGTTTTTACAGAATATTTTTCTGAAAATTGACTATTTTTAATCGGGTAATATTTAGAAAATTGAAAACAAAACACTGTGTAACGCGACAAAAATCAGTGACATGGGAGGCTCTACTTCACTTTAAAAATATTCCCAACTAGCAAAATCATGACATGAATATTCTTCAAGACTACTTGATCTAATAGTGCACTTATAATAATCTGAATAATCTCGACCAAGCCTATAACGATGGAATCTTATAGTAATCTTATAGTGCATAAACTTAGTGCAATATAAATTATTATAATATCTTGTTCTCTTTAAGAACGTTTACAAAGGACTTGGGTTTTTTTGACTTGCGTTAATTTCCTTTATCCTAAATGTTAAAGGAATATTTACATCCTCGATATTAGAAGCTCAATGCATAATAAACGTGCAAATGAAAATGTTGAGTCTTTTCCACTTTGTATCGCCCACGCCTAAAACTCAACTTTTTATTTGGAAAATATTGGAAAAATACGTAAATAAAGTCTTATAAGTCAATCGTTTTAATGAT